TTGGCGCTTGTGTATGTCTGTGCCTCTGTGTGGACATGTACACTTGATGGTACAGGTAGCCTCATATGCACACACATTTGGAGTAAGGCTGCAGCCTTGAGGGCCTGAATGGCCAGGCAAATATTAGCAAACAGGGAGACTTGGATCAAGAGACAGATAGCAGAAAGACAGTGTCCAAGCCCAGCTGTCAGTAGGACACATCTAAAAATTCACTGAAAATTAGCTGACTTCCATTCTGCTCAGCTAGAGATGGATGGCAATAAGAACACTTGTGATCTTTGTGTTCATAAAAGAGCTCTGTGTAACTTCCTCTTTTGATCTGCGTTGGTGGCCATGTGTGTTACATAGAATCATAGACTCATAAATGTTGGAAGAGACCTCTGAGACCCTGAAGTCCAACCCCAACCTATCCCCCCCATGCCCACTAACCATGTCCCCAAGTGCCACATCTCCATGGTTCTTGAGTACTTTCAGGGATGGTGACTCCACCACTTCCCCAGGCAGCCTGTTCCAATGCCTAACTACTCTTTCAGAGAATAAATGTTTCCAAATATCCAACCAGAACGTACTCTGGTACACCTTGAGGCCATCACCTCTCATCCTATTGCTATTACCTGGCAGCAGAGGCCTACTCCTACCTCACTCCAACCTCCTTTCAAGAGTTGGTGAGAGTGATGATGTCCCCCCTGACCTCAGCCACTCCCCATAAGACTTGTATTCCAGACTCTTCATCAGCTTTGTTACCCTTCTCTGAATGTGCTCCAAGGCCTCAGTGTCTTTCTTGCAGTGAGAGGCTCGAAACTAAACAGGATTGCTAAACTGCTCTCCATCATCATTGAAAGATCTTGGCAAATGGGAGAGGTGCCTGAAGACTGGAGGATGGCCAGCATCACTTCAGCCTTCAAAGAGGGCAAGAAGAAGGATCCAGGAAACTACAGGCCAGTCAGCCTCACCTCTGTCCCTGGAAAGGCGATGGAACAATCTGTTGTGGATGCCACCTCCAAGCAATTGGAAGACAAGAAGGTTATCAGGAGTAGTCAGTATGGGTTCACCAAGGATAAATCATTCTTGACCACCCTGATAGCCTTCTATGATCTTATCACTGGCTAGGCAGATGGGGGGAGAGCAGTGGATGTTGTGTACTTTGACTTCAGCAAGGCATCTGACAGCATCTCCCACAACATCCTTGTTACAAAACTTAAAATATGTGGGATAGATGAGCAGATGGTGAGGTGGATTGAAAACTGACTGGCAGAGCTCAGGAAGTTGTCATTAGCAGTGCAGAGTCTGGTTGTAGGCCTATAACTAGCAGTGTTCCCCAGGGGTCGGTGCTGGTTCCAGTTTAATTCAACATCTTCACTAATGACCTGGATGAAGGGATAGAATGCACCCTCAGCAAGTTTGCTGATGATACAACACTGGGAGGATTGGTTGTCACACCTCAAGGCTGTGCTACCATTCAGTAAGACCTGGACAGACTGGAGAGTTGGGCAGGGAGGAACATGATGAGGTTTAACAAAAGCAAGTGTAGAGTCTGACGCTTGGGGAGGAGTAATTGCATGCATCAGAACGGGTTAGGGGATGATCAGCTGGAGAGGAGCTCTGCAGAGAAAGACCTGGGGGTCCTGGTGGGCTACATGTTGGCCATGAGCCAGCAGTGTGCTCTTGTGGCCAAGAAGGCCAATGGGTCCTGGGGTGCATTAAAAAGAGCATGGCCAGGAAAGTGAGAAAGGTGAGCCCTCTACTCTGCCCTGGTAAGGCCACATTTAGACTACTGTGTCCAGTTCTGTGCTCCCTTGTTCAAAAAAGACAGAAATCTCCTAGGAGTCCAGCAGAGGGCCACAAAGATGGTGAGGGGCCTGGAGCATCTCTGCTATGGAGAAAGGCTGAGTGAACTGGGTCTGTTCATCCTGGGGAAAAGAAATCTGAGAATGAGTCTGATAAACATGGGAAGGAAAGAGGGAGGCAAATGGATGAGGCCAGGCTCTTCTCCATGGTGCATAGCAATAGGACAAGGAGTAATGGCCTAAAACTTGAACATAAGAAGTTCAGTATTAACATGCAGAACTTCTTTACGATAAGGGTGATGGAGAACTGGAACAGGTTGTCCAAGGGGTTGTGGAGTCTCCACCTGTGCAGATATTCAGGACTTGTCTGGATACCTATCTGTGAGATGTACCTGCTTCAGCAGGGGGGTTGTGTTCAATGATCTCTTCAGGTGCCTTCCAGCCCCTGCAATTCTGTGACTGTATGTAAATGGTATCAAAGTATGGCCTCACCAGTGCCTTGAACACAGAGGGATGATCACCTCCCCTCTCCTGCTGACTGCATTATTTCTGATACAAGCCAGGATGCCACTGGCCTTCTTGGCCACCTGGGCACACTGTTAGCACACTGTGTTCAGCTGACTGTCAACCAGCACCCCCAAGTCACTTTCCTCTGTGCAGTTTACCAGCCACTCTGCACCAAACTTGCAGCAATGCATGGGGTTGTTGTGACTAAAGTGAAGGACCTAACACTCGGTCTTGCTCAACTTCACCCCACTGGCCTCAGTCAACTGATCCAGCCTACCCACATCCCTTTGTAGGGCTTTCCTAGGCTCAGGCAAATGGACAATTTTTCTGAACTTGGTGTCATCTGCAGACTTACTGAGGGTGCATTCAATCCTTTCATCCAGATCATCAATAAACATATTAAACCCCCATCAGCATTGGGCCCCAATACTGATGCCTGGGAAATATCACTTGTTACTAGCTGCCAGCTGGATTTAACTCCATTTGCCACTACTCTACCCAGCAATCCAGCCAGTTCTTCACCCTGTAAAGAGTGTACCTGTCCAAGCTGCCAGCTTATCCAGCAGTACTGTGGGAGACTGTCTTGGTTTCAGCTGGTAAAGAGTTCATTTTCTTCATAGTGACTGGTGTGATGCTGTGTCTTAGCTTCAGGAGAGAAACAAGGTTGGTAATACACTGATGTTTCTAGTTGTTGCTGAGCAGTGCTGTACAAAGCAAAGGACATTCCAGTTGTTCAGGTTCTCTTATTGCTCTGCCAGCAAGGAAGCTGGGGAACACAAATAGCTGGGAGAGAACAAACCAGGACAGCTGATCTAAACTGGGCAAAGAGATATTTGTAGAATCATAATCATAAAATCATTGACTGGCCTGGGTTGCAAAGGAGCACAATGCTCATCCAGTTCCAACTCCCTGCTGTATGCAGGTCACCAACCAGCAGCCCAGGCTGCCCAGAGCCACATCCAGCCTGGCCTTGAATGCCTGCAGGGATGGGGCATCCACAGCCTTCCTGGGCAACCTGTTCCAGTGCCTCATCACCCTCTGGGGCAAAAATTTCTTCCTCGTATCCAACCTAAACCTCCTCTGTCTCAATTTAAAAAATACCATATGACATCATGTAAGAAAACTATAAAGCTAAGCAAAGTTGGCTGTGGGAGGCCAGCTAGGCATCAGTCAGCGGGTGGTGGGTTATTGGTTTGTACATCACTTGTTTTGAGTACATATATATGTGTGTATATATATATATATGAAATTATTCAATTATCAGTACTGTTATTTCTCTCTTCCCTTTCTGCCCTAGTATCTCTACCTATGAGTTCTATTTTTTTTTTTTTTTTTTCCAATTTTCTCTCCCCATTTGACGGAGAGGAGAGGGAGTGTGAGAAAAAAGGCTGTGTGACATTTATCTCTTTGCCAGGTTAAACCACAACAGAGACAGAGTCAAAGGCTTTACTGAACTCTAGGTCAGGCTACATCAAAAGCCTTTTCCTCATCCATTGGGGGGTTACCTGGTCATAGAAGAAGATGAGGCTGGTCAAGCAGGACCTGCCTTTCATGAACCCATGTTGGCTAGGCCTGATCCCCTGGTTGTCCCACACATGCCGTGTCATCCCTTTCAAGATGATCTGCTCCATAACCTTACCTGGCATTGAGATCAGGATGACAGGCCTGTAGTTCCCCAGATCATCATTATGACCCTTCTTGTAATTTGGCATCACATTAGCAAGACGTACCTGGTTGACCAGGACTGCTGATAAATGACAGAAAGCAGCTTGGCAATCATCTCTGCCAGCTGCTTCAGCACCCTTGGGTGGGTCCCACCCAGCCCACGGACTTCTGACAGCACAGGTCACTAACTGAATTGCAGGGGGTTTATTCTGCTCTTTATCCCTGTATTACAGCTCAGGAGGCTGAGTATCCTGAGGATAACTGGTCTGATATTAAAAACATAAGAAGACACTGAGAACCTCAGCCATTTCATCATCCTCAGTGGTAATATTCCTTGCCACATCCAATGAAGGATAGAGATTCTCCTTGGTCCTCCTCTTGCTGCTAATATATTTGTAAAAACACTTTATTATCTTTAACAATGATTTTTTTCTGAGTTTTTTTCTTTCTAATTTTCTCTCTGCAAATATGTGTATTTGCAGTGTATATGGACGCACATGCATCTGTGTGCACTTACTGGGAATACGTGCTCAGCTCTGCTGCTGGTTGGATTTGCAGTAAAGGAGCTGTGGCAGCCTCTCAGGCTTTCAGGTCCAGCCTAATTCCCTTAACACACACCTTGGAAGACCATAATCGATCCACCTCATGTGCTCTGAAGTGTAAACAAGCCTTGTTAGTTTCCCACAGAACACAACAGATCTACTAAATAGTTCAGAGGGTTCTGAAATCCTATAGCATGTAGAGTGGCCCACACTTTATGCTGTCTGCCAGGGGATTCATTACACTGTCTGTGAAACTCTGCTTCTATTACCCTGACAATGATATCAGGCCCTGAATCAAATCCTAACATCAAGCTCTGCTCACTTCACTGTATTTCCATTGCATGTGACTTATTCAACCCTTGAAAGCAAATCCAAATGAGAAATCCCTTTCTCATATTACTCTCTTTGATGCATGGCACCAAAGCCACATGGAAGATAGACAAAATATATCTATATATATATATATATGCCATGTGATACTTTACTCCTGGACCAGTACCTTGTTGTCCAATGCTGTAATCTCCTGTTGGTTAGCTGTTGAGAGAAGAAAACTACTCATCTGTCCCTTTAATGGGTCTTCAACTTCTACATCTATGTCATAACAAGCCGTCTTCTTCTGATCATTGGGGTCAACACTACAGAGAGGATAATAGAATATTATAAGAACTGCTGTAATGAATCAGAGTAAATACCCATCCAGATCCATATCCAGGATATATTTTCTGCAAAGGACTGTTGCAGATGCTGGGAGAAGAGTTTAAGAACTGGTTACCTATATATACATGCATATCCTAGCGTATTGTCTTATCTTTCATCAGTTAGAATTCAGACTTTTGAGTCAGAGGTTTTGTCCAAACTATAAACTTTAACAGCTACTAATGCTCAATCTTAAATTAAATTGCCTCACATTTTCTGAGAACAGTTATAGCTTCAGCCTCCGAAGTAATTTCCAGTTGTAAACAACATTTCAATATCATTTCTGTTCCACTGCATCCATTTAGGGTAAGTAAAACCGTACACTATCATTCTGGATGTGAGCACTTAATTGGTTATCAGTTCCAATGCTAATTATTGAGTTGGAGGACCATGACTGGGGGAGCAGTGACTTTCCACTTGAAGTCGCTGAAATTGTAAGAGATCAGTTGCAAAAGTTAAACGTTCTGGGGGCCTGATGGGATTCATCTCTAAGCACTGAGAGAGTTAGCACGTTATAACTGAACCTCTATCAACAATTTACTAAAGGTCTTGGGATACTGTGGAGATTTCTGTTCACTGGAACACAATGTTATAATGATCTAAAAGAAGGTCAAGAGAGAAGACCTACCAAAAGCTACAATCTAATCTCAGTACATGAAAAAATATAGAGAAGAGTTTCCTAGGTACTATCAAAGGATATTTAAAAAACAAGGATGTTATCAGGCATAATCAACACGGATTCAAAGTGGGAAAAGCCTGCCTCAGTAACGTGATCTCTTTCTACAATCACATCATCGCTCAGTGGGTCAAGAAAAGGCAGAGGTTGTAATCTCACTGGATTTTAGTAAGGCCTTTGATACCATCCCTCACAGAATCCTTCTGAGCAAATCGTTGAACCATGACCTGAGTAGGGTCACACTGGCTGATGAAGTGACTGAACGGCAGAGCTCAAAGAGCTGTAGTGATGCGTGGCTACATCTGGCTGGCCATCAGTCTCTAGCAGTGTTCCCTAGGTCTCAATTCTAAAGTCAGTCTTGTTCAACACATTTATCAGTGATCCAGATCAGGAGTTGAACGCAGCCTCAGGAAGTTTGGTGACAATACTAAACTGCGAGGTGCTGCCAACTCTCTTGAGTGATGAGAAACCTTGTAGAGGGATCTAAGTAGATTGGATAATTGGGCAATTGTTAATTGCATTACATTCAGTAAGAACAAATGCTGGTTTCTGCATCTGGGATGGAGGAATGCCAGACAAGTGCAGATTGGAAGATGAATCATGGAGAATAGCAAAACTGTAGGGTCTGGAAGGGACCTCCAGAGATAATCTAGCCCAGCCCCCTGCAAAGCAGGCCCCCCATAGAAGGCTGCACAAGTAGGTGTCCAAGCAGGTCTTGAATATCTCCAGAGGAGAATCCACAACCTCCCCGGACTGCCTGTTTCAGTGCTCCATCACCCTTACTTGTGAGGAAATTCCTTCTCATATCGGTGTGGAACTTCCTGTGCTCCAGTTTATGGTTGTTTCCCCTTGTCTTGTTGCCTTGTCCTCACAGACTGCTGAAAAGAGCTTGGCCGCATCTCCTCAACTCCCACACTTCAGATGCTTATAAACATTAATTAGATAATCAGATGATTCCTCAGTGTTTCCTCCTAGCAGAGCTTTTTCCAGACCATTCATCACCTATGGGCTCTTTCCAGATTCTCATGTATGGGGGAGCTGGGAACAGGACAAAGTACTCCAGATGAGGCATCACTAGGTCTGTGTAGAGAGGAAGGATTACTTCCCTTGTTCTGCTGGCCATGCTCTTTTTAATGTACCCCACAATACCAATGGTCTTCTTGGCCACAAGAGCATATTGATGGTTCATGGTCAACCTGCTGTTCTCCAGGGCTTCCAGGTCCTTCCCTGCAGAGATGCTTTTCAGGATAGGATTCGCAAGAATGACACAAAGCTGCACCAGGGGAGGTTCAAAGTAGGAGACAGATATCTCCTGACTAGCTGGAAATGTGCTGGTGGACTGGAGACTGGCAAACGTGACGCCCATCTTCAAAAAGGGCAGGAAAGATGACCCTGGTAGCTACAGACCTATCAGTCTCACCTCGATGCCAGGGAAGATTATGGAACAGATAATCTTGGGAGCCATTACGGACCTATTAAAGGTCAACCAGAGGATCAGGCCCAGTCAGCATGGGTTTACAAATGGTAGATCCTGTGTGACAAACCTGATTTCATTCTATGACAAGGTGACCCGCTTAGTGCATGAGGGTAAGGCTATCAATGTGGTCTACCTGGACTTCAGTAAAGCCTTTGACACTGCCCCCCACAACATTCTCATGGAGAAGCTGGCTGCCCATGGTTTGATGGATGTACACTCTGCTGGGTGAAACATTGGCTGGATGGCTGGACCCAAAGAGCTGTGGTCAGTGGAGTTTAATCCAGTTGGCTGCCGGTCACAAGCGGTGTTCCCCAGGGCTCAGTACTGGGGCCACTTCTCTTTAACATCTTTATTAATGATCTTGATGAGGGGATCGAGTGCACCCTTAGTAGGTTTGCAGAGGACACCAAGCATTGATGTGCCTGAAGGGAGAAGGGCACTACAGAGGGACCTGGATAGACTGGATCAATCGGCCAAGGTTAACTGTATGAGTTTCAGTGGGGCCAAGTGTCAGGTCCTGCATTTTGGTCACAACGACCCCAGGCAACCCTACAGGTTTGGGAAGGAGTGGCTGAAAGCTGCCTGGTGGAAAGGGACCTTGGTGTAGTGATGGACAGTCAGCTGCTGATGAGCCAGCAGCATGCCCAGGTGGCCAAGAAAGCCAATGGCTTCCTGGCTTGGATTAGGAATGGCGTGGTGAGCAGAATGGGGGAAGCCATCTCTGCTTACAAACTATTTGGATGCGGTGCTCAGGGATGTGATTTAGCAGAGGGTTGTTAGAGTTAGGGTAGTATGGGTGGGTTGTGGTTGGGCTTGATGATCTTTAAGGTCTTTTCTAAACTGAGGAATTCTATGACTGGAAACATTTCTTCACTATCAAGGTGGTTAAAGACTGAAATGGGCTTCCTCGTGAGGTGATTGATGCCCCACGTCTGTCATTTGAATAATGCTCTCATTATTGCACTTTAATTTCTGGTTAGCTGTAAAGTGGTCAGGCAGTTGAATTAAATTATCTTTCTAGGTCTCTCCAATTGAACTATTCTAATTTCTTAATTTTCATATAAAGCAAATCACCTTTATCTTGATGCCTGATAGATTCTTCAAAAAAACAGCCACTCATGCCTTCCTGCTACAGAAGCTATACTGATTTTTCCCAAATATATCACATTTATCACACACCTATTAACTTCATCCTCTTTTATAGTTAGTATAATTTGGCTTCCAGTATCCAGGACTGATCTTGGTGCATCTGAATCTCTGGGCACAAGGACGTGACATTCTGGAGTTAAGGCTCACAGGGAGCCTCAAGGATGATCAGGGGCTGCAGAACGTGCCTGCCCAGAGAAGCTGCCAGAGCTGGGTTCGTCCAGCCCTGAAGAAGAGACCTGGGGAACTGACTCGATGGATGGAACTTTTTAAGATTTTATAACTCATAATTGTAATTAAAAGGGATAAATAAACATCAAACAGGTTCACAATACAAGAATATTGAAGAACTACATTTTGTAGAACATTTGTGTAATGTTAAGAGGTGGCTTGCTTCTTTGCAGAAATGGAAAATGCTACCTGTAATTTCAGATATGACAGCAACAAAGAATAGCTCTAGCTCCAGCTTAGGCTCACATAAGATTTTATTTCTGTAAGTTTTAAATCTGATGCATTCAGTTTTGCATAGTTCAGAAACTATTATCCACTCTTTTTTGTGGCATCCTCTTTCAGGATACATACCATATGAAAAGTATTTTTGCAGATTATAATCTTTCTGTTCATTTCTATTTAATTTCCACTTCATTCTCACTTCATTTTTTTGTTGCTTTCTCAAAAAGCAGGGATGGTTTGTATCTGAACATTAGTTCTAAAATGCTACAATGAGATTAGAATAGCTCCTGTTTTCATCTGTGTGCATCCTAAAAATCTAAAATGAATAACTAATCTAGGTGACCTTTTTGTACAAGACAGGCCTAGAGATAAATCTGAAGAGCACACATATTTAAAATCACCAGCACTTAAAGATCCCTGCAGTGGCTGACTGCTGTTCCAGCAGTTGACTACACTCACTGTTAAGAATTTAACTCAGTGAGCAGGAGAAAGGGTCTGCGAGTCTGTTCAAAGCCAAGCTGGACAAGGCCAGCAGAAATGTGATGCGATCCGAACCAGCTTTGAGTTGGTCGTGGGGAAGTCTCAGGTGACCAGTGTTGGCTTCTACGTCATTCTGCAGTTTCAATAGTCTAAGTCTACTTACTCCCATTACATTCAGTGCCAAACTTCAAGATATTTTTTCTTTTGCTGAGACTACAAGCATTATATTACCCCTTGAACAAACATCGTATCTCCTCTTCTCGGCAAATTAACGCTTCCCCCATCCACAGCCTGATCTCACTATAGCATAATACTGTCCAGTTCTGTGTGGTGCACAGAGTATGTCAGAGAACACTACTGCACACAGCATCCTCCTCTTCAGCTTCTAGCTGAAAGAAGTTATCTCGCGCCCGGGACTTCTTTGCCAAAAATACTGTCAGTTAGTTCCTTGCCATATTTTTCCCTAGATAATGACTACGTGCCTCTGAGGACCTCAGCTTTTTCTTTTTGCTCCATCAAAAGGTCAAAATCATCTTCAGTGACAGTACATACACAGTTATCAACTCATACAGTGGTCAAAAGCCACTTTTAGACTGTTTTACATAGTCAAATTAATTGAAAAACAAGTTTTATTTTTACAGCCTTTGTAACTTTAAAATTTCTTATCACATATATTACAGAGTTGAAACAAAAAATCATTTTTAGGCATATTCAGGAATATTTGTTGTCAATATTCTGTAGGAAATTAATTTCCTAACCTCAGTTAATGGTAACATTTAAATACTCTGAGTTTTGATCAGGACTACAAAGGAACTTAGAAGAGACAGAAGTAGCCAACAGCAAGTTTGCAGTTCTCAATCTCTCCCCTCCTCCCAAGTTGTCACTTAAGTATGGAATGTGCTGGATGTGCCCTACATATACGTAAAGCTGTATATTAACCATGCCAAAAATATGCCTGTTTTGGCAAGGATTCCAGGAAGTTCACTGCTTTGGCTGCAATATCCTTCACTGAATCTTGTCATTCTTTAGATTAACTCTTTAGAGGATCCTTGAATAGCCTGTGTTCTTCAAGGAGGACTAGCACCCAAACCAGCTGATCCAATCCCAACCAAGCATGCAGACTGGCCACTGTATCTGAAACCATTACACTGTTGCATATCTGACATAATCGGGTGGTTAGAATGAATATCTGTGGTATTTTAACTCCCTTTTTTCCCCCCCAGTGGATTCAAACTTGTTCTTCTCCCATTAGGAAGGAAATCCGATCAACTCTCAATATTATTTTAGTATGGATAAGAAGAGTGAGTTTTGCACTCTCCTATAGAAATGGTGCCACTCCGCTGAAAGTAATTCCGAATTACATAGACCAGAACGTCAAAGAGAACAAACACATGAAGTCCAAGGCTCTGACCAGGACGTCAGAAAACCTGGATTCTGGTCCGTGCGACAGTAGCTGCTTCTGCATTCATGCACTTTGCACTTGACAGTGCTGAGCTGACGGCCAAGCTTACCTGATGATATGGTTTATCACGATAGGATCTGGTGGCAGCAGCAAGTTAGTCAGTCTCTGAGGGATTTCAGAAAACTTCAGCCGTGGACAGTCAAAAATCTGGAATACAATGAAGCCTGTTACCCTCCAGAATCCAATTTGTAGTTAAGAAAGTAAACCATTGGTTCAAAGGTAAGGGGATTCTGTAAGCTGTAATTCTGTCCCCTGGCCAAATACCAGCTGTTACACTTTGCTCACAAACCCTCCCTTTAAGAGCTTTCAAAATAAGCCAGGACACCTCGCTTATTTTGAAAGCTATGGAAAAACAAAGCCAGGTAAGGTAATGATAACTCATATATCATTACTTCTACTAAACTGATGTAGCCTTATTTACAGAAAGTGTGGAGATCCCTCCAAGCATCCCTCATGGTTAATTCTAGAGGTTGTTGTGAAAGACAAAAAGTCTTAGTGTGCTACTTTGAAAACAGCATGCAGACCACTGAGAGCATCTTAAGATTTGAAGCACATTTAGGAAAAAGATAGCTTTTCTAATCATGTCTTTCACGTCTTCTGCCTTTCTTAGAAGGAGAAAAGAAGGGATGGAAAAGACTCTACATATGATCTGGTACTCAGAAGCAGCAGACTTTATCATGTCACTGAGATACCATCTTATGCTAAGAAAAAAACCAAACAACTATAAATCAGGACAGTGAAAAAAGAGCTTTTCTTCCTGGAAATGCTTTTGTGCAGGTCATAAACCATCAGATTCCTGATAACACTGGCAAATGGAGGAGGTGCTTACTTCTATTCTTTTATGAGTTGTATGTCAGCGTCTGTTGAAAACCATTCAGTACTGAAGACTGCAAATTATTAAGCAAAAATTCAGAAATTTTGTTCCATCAGAAGTTTGCAGATGGATATTACAGACCACCTTGAAAGAGACACCGTGTCTAGAAAGGAATTACCTGCTGGAAGTACTTGTCACAGTTAATGTATTCCTTATCATGGGAATCTTGCAGCTTATTTGTTTTGATGTACTGCCACAGAGCCTGGATGATAGCTGATCGGGTCTGCGTGTGTATCCCCAGCAAACGGGCCAGTCGTGGGTCCAGTTTGAACTGCGGAGGCTGCAACACAGTGAAAAGGAGAGAGATGGTAACAGAGAGAATAACAGACACCTGCCCAGATAGAGCTTCAGCTTTACTTTTCTGAGGACTTGGTTCCACACGTGAAGTGCCCCTTTCAGTGGTGGAAGCTGCATGAACAAATTGCTCAGATGTGCACCACCTCCATGGAATGACTATGCCTAGTGCTTGAAAAGGAAGAGGGACACCATACATGTGCTGTGCAAACCAGCTACCTGCATCACCTGCTGCAGACAATGAGCTGCACAGTCAGAAGTTTCTCTTTACTTTTTATGCAGTTTGGCTTTAGGGACCAGAAGACAAAAAAGAATGATCCTGCCTCAGAACTAATGGAGATTAGCCACAAATTGAGAGCATGAATTCAAGATGACACTTCTGCTATTCCTAATAATCAATCAGCTGCCTCCCATCAACAAACTCCATTGGAACCCTTTTTTTCAGACATGCTTCTAAAGTTCCACTGCATAGCAGAAACTGCACCTGGTTACAACTTGCCAATGGAATCTATTTCTCCTGACTTCTGTGATACAACTCCTCAATTGCCCTGCTTTACATTTCCAACAATATACATTCTTTAGGTACCCTGGTGTCTGGTGCCTCTTCACAAGTGCACTCATGCTCATGTTTAATATTTGCCACGTTTTTCTGCATTGTTGGCTTTCAGGTCACCCAAAGTCAGATTTATAACAAGACAAAACTTCGGGTAAGAAAACATGCTTAAAAGCATAAATTTATACTAATGGTGATCATTAACTCTAAATATATTTTCCTAACAGTCAGGATAGCAGCTATATCAGCACCTCAGTTAGGTCATACACTCTCTAAAATTAATAAAACTCTATTCTAGAGTTTCTAGGAAGACTAAAGACTATCCTAACTTTTTTTTTTTTTTTCCTTTTTCTTTGTTTGTTTCCTGTGACTGGAATCAGGAAACTAATTTGGAAGTAAGCTTTGCTAGCTCTGAAGTGAAGATCTCTTATCTTATGTCTGTGTTCAGTACAGACACTTCCAGTACAGAAGGTATTACTAATAAAAGAGAGGAATCAGGAATGCTGAAATAGTGCAATGACAGGTCTGTCCCACTCAGGGACATGTTTTATGCCAGATTAGAATGACAGCGTAACACAGATGTAATAACCTCAGGAAGCTGTGCAGTCTGCTCTGACAGAACGCTGCCACAGCTGCTCTGCTGCTCAGGTACCTCCAGCAAGAGCCATTCCTTTGAAACATAGCATACAGGAAACCTCCCCTTCACGTGCATCTTACCTCACTATTTAGCAAGAAGTCTGAACAGGTAACATATATTCTTTCTGCAGGTGATAGTAATCATCATCATGCCAAGAACAGTTTTTTGCCAGATGATAACAGAAACTCATTTGATGAGCTCTCTTAATATTTTCCCTAATCTGGCAGTTCAGTATAACTATAAACTCTTTGGACAACGTGACATTCCAAGTCCACATTTATTATATCTTGATGAACGTGATGGGATGAATTGACTCTGTTGCAGCATGCCCCAACGGTGCATTTTCCATGACAAAAGCACACACTGACCTGGTAATCCAACATGAGGAGTAGCGTGCACCGCACACTGACATCACCAGGTCTTTTCACCTGGAAGCCATCAGTCTCCTGAGTTGTGGGAGTTCTGTGCCACTGCCAAAAACAAATCAATCAATAAATAAAGCCAATTAACGCGGTCAGCCTTTTTTTCCCCACTGATGCAGAAAACTGTGCGCCCATCAATGGAGCACCTCGCACAGCGCTCCAAGCAACAATAAGACAAGCAGTAAGCCCTGGAAATCTTGCGATTAAAAACCAAACCAAAAAACCCACATTGTTTCTTGCTCCGCCCTCACAAGGCTGTTTCAGCGTACAACCTGTTTGGATGCTAGTATGCTTCACTTGTCAGGAGAAGTGTGCACACTTTTTTTCATTACACGAATTCTTAGAGGCAAACCACATCACCACTACACCTTGTGAGAATCCTTCTCTGTTTCTTGGCTCAAAGCTTGCTTCCTGAGGTATTTCTTGTGATAAGACTCTGAGTGATTTGTTGAGGAGGCAACTAATGGGTGCTAACCGTGTGACAATGGATATCGCCTTGGGAACATTTGAAAGCCCCTTCCTCCAGAGCTCCCTGCTCTATAGAAGAGCGGATGAGAGTGCTCAGGAGTGTTTACTGGCGGAAGATCTAGCCTGTGACAAAACAGCTTCAGCTAGGTGTGGGAAAATTGGGGAACAATACCATCATGTTCTGTGAGAAACAGGAAGCAGGTGGGCACCCCTGCTCCCTCTTATCTGCTGGCAAGGCCCGGAAGATGGGAACAAAGGAGTTTCTGCTGAGATCCCAGAGCCAGAAGCTGCCACTCAAAGGAGAGTTGACTCAACCACTTTGGATTTGAGCTGTCACTCCAAAGGCAGCTGACTCGACCACTCTGAAAGCATTGAAAAGGGGCCATCATCGCCATGGTAGTGGTCGTGCTTCTCGTCGTCAACTCTGCCTGACGACCCACCACTACTGAAGATCAAAGACTGAACTATGAACCACGCTGGATCCATGGTGGTGACTATGTCCCTCTTGCTGCCTATAAAGACCCCTTGCTTCTTGTCTTCTATCTTTTCTATCGCCCTCCTTCCCTTCCCCATTACCCTAATTCATAATAGTGTCCGTCCTCCCCTTCCCCATTTCCCCTGATTAAGATTTGTAATAAACTGGTTGGACCAACATTTGAACCGTTGCTTCTTAATCTCATGCCGGGTATATAGATAATAAAAGAACCTCCTCTCCCTCCTATAAATTGGAGCGAGACAAACCTGTGATTTCAAACTACATAGATTCTGTTAGTAAGCACTCCAAAAAAGAACGATATTTTGAAGCTTCTGAAAACACCATGAGATAATAAATTCAATGTAACTTAAACAAGGTAGGTAACGGGCACGTAGCTGTTTGTCTGTGTTAGTACAGTGTATGAATGCAGAGGTGCATGAACTTCCTACCTCCACAAGATGGTTGTCAGGTCCGTAGAGATCTTTGTCCAGTTCAATGACTAAACTCTTAAAAAAAGATGAAAACTTCCGTTTCTGTTTGCTGAGCTGTATAACCAGAAGAAATAAATGTTTTAGACTGCATGTAGTAGCCTGTGTTACGTGCTTTCTTCTCAGGCTCTCTTCTCATACAGATCACAAGCGTGCCCGGTCTAATCGAGTTTCCCCTCTGACAAATACAGAGAAATGTGCAAAAATCCAGCAGTGGTAGAACAGTACAGCGAGGGAAAAGTCTTCCTTGACTGCAAACAAGGTCACTGCATCCCTTTTAAGTTTGTATTTTTTTCATAAATGCCAAATTCTTTGTCTAAATTCTCAAATAGCAGCAAGTCTTACAGATTAGTCATACGCTAAGTGTCTCCTTTTACATTTTGCCTCTTCATCTAATTAGTAGTACTTGCTGTTTGCTCTACAGTTCATACTGTCTAATTAAAAAGCTGGAGGTCTATCTCACTTTCTGGGCAATACACTCCACAGTGCTTCTTTCAATCATAGAATCACTTGAGTTGGAAGGGACCTCTGAAGACCATCAGGTCCAACTTTCCTGCTGTGAACAGAGTCACCTACAGCTCCATCAGGTGCTCAGAGACCCATCCAGCCTAACCTCAAACATCTCCAGGGATGGGGCACCCACTTCCCCTCTGTTCAGCCTGTGCCAGTGCCTCACCACCCTACTGCGAACAACTTCTTCCTAATATCCAGTCTTAACCTCCCCTCCCTTAGTTTGACACCATTTCCCCTTGTGCTATCACAGCAGACCTTGCTAAAGAGTCTTTCCCCTTCCTTCTTACAATCCCCTTTAGATACTGCAGCACCCCAGCTGAGGTTTCAATGACTTTATTCCTATTTACTGGAAGTTACTTGGAAGTACATCCTCCTTCAATTTAAAATTTGCCAGTAACTGAGATGCCATGATAAAAATGGGCAAATTTTTTTCCAATAACAAAGTTTTCTTCTTTTGTTATTAAATCATTCTATAATCAGTGAATATTAAGATGTTATAATTACAAAATAAACAAGAGAGTCAGGCAAAGCAGATAATGATAACAAAAAGAGAATAGATAGAAAGCTTACCCCTATCCTGGGCTCACTTACAAAACTCCAGCAGAGCAGATCTCCAGCAGAGATCCTTCCCCACTGGTAGCCAGCTCTTAAATGGGTCTGGGAGGGATGCAGCCTGGCTCCCCCCCTTCCGGCAGCACAGCTGAATTGCCTTCACCTGTGCTCCTCTGGTTGGCTCAGTGCTCGCCTCAGGTGCTCAATCAGAGGTTCAGGCTGTGACTCAGCACTTCCCATACAATCATACACTCTAGTTTCTAATCTGAATTTGTATAGTTTCAGATTCCAGATGCTGCAGTTTGTTTACCCTTTATTTTCTAGCAGAATTCTGATTCATACACTTATCTCCAGATAGACACACACTGAATGTTTGCTTTCTCCATCTGTTTATCTTATGAAATACTTAGCTTGTGAAGCCTATGTAAATACCTGAGACCCTGACTGGGAAAGCCCAGCATTCACATACAAAAGCTGTTTCTGATTGCTTCAGTCAACAAAACTTTTCTTCCATCCTTGCTCTGACCATCCATACATCCTCTTGCACGCCCCAAGAAGTGGAAAAATGCTCTTCTCCTCGCTGTCCTACTCCTCATAAGACGCAGTGGCCTGCTGCAGGTCTGACTTGTCACCCCTCTTATGGCCTGGATCCTGTCGTATCTTTGAGGCAGCACTCTTTCTACATCCTCCTACCTGTTCTGTCCTTAAGGCTGCTCTGCTTCCTGCTGCCCTCCACAACACTGCCTTTACGGTGTATCCCTCCCTGTTGCTGGACATACTGCTTTCCCAGCAGCAATAAGCCAATGCTGCCATTTAGTGATACCTCGACTGACTGAATGTTCCCAGTGAAGCCCATCACCCTACAGGACAACCTCTGTTTGCTGGCCCCACTGAAGAACAAGTAAGCCATACGTCATCCAGGAGCTTCCCCTCCACTCGAAGCTCCCACGATGCGATGCTGCCGTCAGAGTCATCAGCGTCAGATTTTGCAGGATTAAATGTGTTGGAGATATAAAGTCTCAGCTTCCGCTTTTGCTGTTGCACAAAAGGAGAGAAGGACATATCTAGGTTAAGTCCAGGTCTCACGACAGCCACAGGAAAGACTTTCACTAGAGAATTTGCATGTATATGAATACGTTGTAAGCAGAGGAAGACAAGAGGCTGCAGATCCTGTACCTCTGGTCTCTAGCGATGTTTCAGTTTCATTCTCCTTTTGATTTCCAATGGCATTATCCCCATTCTTCTTTTTACCCTGGCAACTTCTTTCCTCATATTTGCCCATATACAAGTAGGAACTGTGTCTGTTTCCTCCAGAATCTGACACATCATCACTAAGATAATATTTTGTAAGAGGTGATCTTGTTCACATCTGAATATTTTAGATGTCTTTCTCCTAGCTTTCAGTTTCCAGCTTCCTTGTACAGTCCACCTAAAACTGAGTTAATAACAATGACTAATTCCACTGTGAAATACAAGAGATCTCTCCTTCATACTTTCCTGTTTCCCTTTGCTAAACCCTTAAGACATGTCTTTTTCTTGCAATTCACACACAAACCAGATGCAGTTGACATTTCAGGAGTGGCCTCCTGCTGGTCCCTGTACTTTCCCTGCCCAGTCAAAGCCAGTCTGCATATCATGTGTTTCTCCTACACCGCTCTCTGATTTACTGTCCTTAACACTACACAGTGAGTTGCCTTTCTCCTCGCAGTAACCACTACAAGTCAGCCCTCTTCTGATACACTGACATCAGAAATTAAAACAATTAATAAAAATCCTAAGCAATGACTGTCTTTAAAGCTGCAGGCATTACTGACATCTGTGAGTATGGTGAAAGCTGAGCCTTTAATCTCTGCTAGAGGAAGACTTTATCCAAACTGATAAGCAAAACAGGCTGTCTTTAGAGGTTGATCCAAAAGGTACTAAAAAGTTATAGCACTATTAAGGCAGCAATTATCACCCATGAAACACACAGAAATATCCTTGCTCCTGACTCATAAGTACCTATGGAAACAGAGCAACTGCAGCAGGATTCCAGTACAAAAGGGGCTTTAAATCTTCAGAAAATTCTTCATCAGAAGCAGAATAAGGGAGCACAAAGAAAGAAAACTCACATTTGTTGGAGTTTAAATATAACTTTTTTTAAAAGATCTGAAGTGTTTGTAAGCTGTTTTCTCTGCTAAATTGTCCTTGGTGATGCTTTATTTCTTTAGGCTTACCCTTAGTCCAGGAACTCCCAGTAACTTCTGGCTGTAGATAACTCTGTAGGTTAATTTCTCAGGGAGACACAGAATTCTCCTTTTTTTTTTTTTTTCCAATCTCTAAGATCCAGCTGTGTTTGTGCCATTGCTTTCTCTCTCAAGTCTCCAAATTTCTGCTCGTGCTTCAGACTTCCTTCTTATTGAGGCAGTCTCCCATCCTTCCTGCCCCACCAACCCGCATTCCAGATGACACAATCTCTCCCTTCACACCCCTGCCCTCCCTATAACAGATCTACCAAGCCAAGCAACCCTTAGGACAATAGCAAACACCAGTCTCCCTTTCTGCAGCTGGGCCTCGATCCTTAAAAGCAGTTTATGGAGTTTACTGCCATCAGGTATCAGCCATTACAGTTGTCACAATCAGCAACTCTAGACCTGACCTGCAGAATACAGTCAGATCTGCCAGAGATACAGTGCACTGCAAGCACATTTTGCTGCTCATGTTGAAAATCATAAGCCTTTTACCCAGTGGCTCAATTCAGCCCTAATTACTTACAAGCAGTATAGTATGGTAAGGCTGCTGGCACAATTTCAGATAGCATGTAATTATTCTGCCGAGAAGCCAATCAGGAACCCAGTAACACACTGGTGTGGCACCACTGCCAACGCAGTCCTCTCAATAACAACGCATAAGAATTCCCAGAAAGGAAAGCAACTGGGCCTGCTAGGACCAAATCCATGAGTGCTCAGAAGGACGCAGCTCCATCCACAGCCTGCTGACTGAGGTGACCCTCAAAGGTCAAGGGACTGCAAGATCCACATACATGTGAAGGATAAGGACAGTAAGACAAATGTAACTGTAAGTCGACACTCCCAATCTACGATCGCCTACTAACCAGAGGACATACCTCTGCCCAGACTGATCTCCTCACACTAGGGAAGCTGTAAGCTATATGGCTTTTTATTCTAATTGAAAGTGTCACAAATGTCTCAACTAAAGATGAGAAGATTCCTAAAAAGAAGAACTCAGTACATTGTTTGTTTAAATTGAAACTGTCACAGATTCCGTTTCGCCCACAACATTTCTGCAAACAGCCTGCACAGACACTTCCCATACAGAGATTTAAGATATCCTTTCAAAAGCGTCAGTAGTTCTCAATGGAGTACCCCACTGAGCCATGGGATCTCTGAGCTGGTAGCAACACAGAAGTCCACATCTCACGTGCCTGTACCACGTAGTGCCATACAGAAACTCATGAACACATCATTTAATAAACAAGGTCTTTGTTACTCCTCCTTGACTTACTGAAATTTTGCTTCTCTACAACCTCTAATTTCAAACCTAACCATTACTTGGTCACCTTCCCACAGAATCACAGAAGGACTCGGGTTGGAAGGGACCTTAAAGATCACAACCCCTCCTGCAGGCCCACCAGCTCAGGCTGCCCAAAGTCCATCCACAGCCTTGGACACCTCCATGGATGGAGCAGCAACAGCTTTTTTTCCCCCCACTTAGTCCACATCACATTAAGTACAAGATTTTCATTATCAAAATAATTAACCTTGCTTTTAACGATGTTTGAAATCAATTGACAACTATTTCATAGCAGAACTCCTTTGTGCACAACACGCCTTCCGGAACTTTTTCTTCAGCATGACAATGTCTCCCAAATTAGAGTCATCAGCAAATTTCACCTCCAAATTTCAGAACTAGCCTCCCAAATTCTGACATTGAAGACAGCCATGAAGACACCGCAAATCTTGGTCCCAAATTTTAAAGATTAAATAAACTGGCTTTAAGGCAGACCAACAATTACCATTCCAGTGGAACACCGTTATTCTCGATATTCTCTACTTCAGCCAGTTACTCACCCAGGTGCAGCTTTTCTGACAGGGATGGGGTATATCCCATCAGAACCTCACACAGACACCCTGGTGAAGCCCTTCCAAATTCCCCTCTATATTTGCACAAACAAGGCACAAGACAATGACATCAGATAGATTCTGCCCGCGCACCAGAGTCTCAAGGTACAGATGGGAAAGCCGAACAGCTAACAAGTATTAGAGCTGTCACTGCTCTCCATCATCTTAATTTTTATTACTATTATTTTGCAATCCCTACCTCTCTCTCCTTAACTTCCCATCAGGAATCAATTAAAAACTTCACTCAAATTGGGGTAAATGGCACCTGCAGCATTTGTTGATTTAAATGAGTGCAGGCTTGATTCAAAGAGCTCAATGGCAGCAGGCAGAGTACGATACAAAAATCTGGGCAAAGTATTTGTCCCCTAAGAGCATCTCTTGGATGCTCTAGATGTAGAGCCCAGCAGAAAGAACAATGTAAGTTCCTTAGAATGATTGACTGGCAAAGCTCAGATATGAAGTGCTGTGGACACAAGTCACTGGGAGCAGAAACAACTAAAACAACCAAAAAAACTTGCCAGAAAGAATGCTGAACAGCATAGAAACATCAGCATTTCATGAACACTGCAAGTTCCTTTCTGCCAACAATCTGATAACAATTCCTCAATCATCTCAAAACTTGAAAACAGGGAAATAATCTAAATCTACAAAACCAGGGAGAGGCAGTTAGACTCTGACTGTATTCAGACACACAGGCTCTTTCTGAACATAAGAATGGAGAACCTGGGAGTGAATTACTTAGTCTGAGGAACTGCAGCTTCGCACAAGTGCTGCGAACTTGTTGTAAACAGCTGCAGGACTGGAGGAATTGGCTGCTGGGAGGGGCTGCTGACAGTGGTGAAGCGAGCTGGCAGGTGGCTCATGCCTCCACCCTGCGCCCCAACCAGCCTCAGACAGAATCGCGGCCGCCTTGCTTCTGAGTAACACCACAGATGTCACCCATTTCAACAGCGCAGCTCTTCACACAAGATGAAGGAAACAGAGACAGGCTCCGTGCATTCTATGCACTGCCTCCAATCAACAGCATTCGAACCACCTCCCTCAAAACCTTCTCCAAAATAACCAGTCTTCCAACATGGAGAAAAACCCAAAGCCAACATTAGGCTTTAAGTCTGTGGCTCTAAAGAGGCGGTGAAGCTTCCACCCTTCAAGATCTTCAGACCTCAGTGTGGCCTTGAGCAGGAAGTTGAACCAGATGCATTCCACGGTTCCACCTTAACCCAATCTTTTCTGTGATTCAGTGAAACAGCATTGGAAAACTGACAAAAGTATCATTTCAGTAGGAAAAAATGATGGGGAAGTGCTAACTTGATCTGGTAGAAATCCTAAAAAAATTCACTTATCCTTTTCTTACATGTATCATGCTTTTATAGGCATATTAAATTTTAAATATATGCATTTTAAACACATGTATTTCTGCAAGATCTTCAACATTCTTCCACGAGTAATTCTCCCCATCGTATGTTTTGTCATTCCACAGTTTTAGATTCTGACTGAAAACTAACATGGAACGTCATGTATTTCCTCATTATACCACTCTAAACTCTTCCATTCCTCTTTCTAGTCATTCTAATATAAAGTTTTTCAAACAGAATTTCTTTTTCATAAGCTATATTCCATTTATTAAAGACTTTCAGAAGTTACAGCTGGTAATATCCGCAAAATGTGCTCCACCATTTTTCCATACACATTGCTTCCCAGCTGCTTATTCTTAGGAGCTCCGTGCGATTCATATCAAACTGCCTCTGTTACCAGGGCCTTTGCTGGGAAGTTCACTGCACCACATCGTTCCCCCTTACATCAGTCTAGGCCTTTTTCTGACATACCTTCATCGGCCTCTTCAGCGCTTCCTGAATATCCACGCGCTTCCGCATAATGGTCTGGTCCAGTTTGCGTTCAAAAGCCAACAGATCCATGTAGGCCTGGGACTCAGGAACCAGCTCCCGGATCTGAGAAGGAAGGAAGGAACACCAAGCGTTGGAAGCAAGAACGCGCCGTGCCCAGAGCAGTAATGCTCTCTCAGCCACCGGACGGATGAGCTCAGAAGCTGTCAGCCCAGCGACGGTAAGTCTCTAGCGGGGCAGGTTTCAGCGGCAGAGCGAAAGCGGGAATGTGGAATTAGAGCTGATGAACTTTGGAGCCACAAGGCTGGAGCCACTGATGAATTTTACAAGTGAGCCTTAGCTACAAGTAGCCAGGGAGCCACAGTTCTTGGAAATGCACAGTACTTCAAATTTGTCCTGCTTAAGCTAAAAAGGTTCTCTCTATACTGAAAATAGAAGATTAGGTATTTGTGTTGTTTTAATAAAAGCAAGTAATATTCAAGCACCGCTTAGCGGGGCACGGAGCATCTCCTCTATGAGGAAAGAGAGCTAGAACTGCTCAGCCTGGAGAGAAGACCTGGGGGGGGGCAGAGACAAGCGAGGTGGACTCCCTACGACCAAGTGCCACTAGTTTGAACAGATTTTCTGCACTGCAGAATTTTTAATATAAAATATTAAATATTTAATGGCCAGTAGTCCAGATGATGAGGCCAGGCTCTTTTCGGTGGTGCCCAGCAACAGGACAAGAGGCAGCGGGTACAAACTGGAACACGGGAAGTTCCACAGGAGCACGAGGAAAAGCTTTTTTACTTTGAGTGTTACATAGCACTGGAAAAAGCTGCCCAGAGAGGTGGGAGAGTCTCCTTCACTGGAGATATTCTGAGCCCACCTGGCTGCTCTCCTGTGCAGCCTGCTGCAGGGAACCTGCTTTAGTAGGGGAGCTGGACTGGCAGATCCCTTCCAATTCCCACAGTTCTGGGATCCCACGATCAGTCAAAATTGCAATTTAGGAAGGCACCACTGTTACCATATCTTCTCGGCTAACATGAAACTGACCTAAATGTTTAAGTTTCGATATGACCAGAGATGCAGAGTCAACTTAAGTTCTTGCTAAATTTTTCTGGTATTTAATATATTAGCTAAGCCATATTAACTGTAAGAAGAAAATCCCTTTTTATTCACCTTATCCCAGAAAGGTTAGCAGAGAATGTGATAGAAGTAGGTTAGGAGGAAGAAAGAGACAGAAGTCTCCTACTCAGTACAAGAGACACCTGGTCATCCTGCAGAGTCCAGTGAAGAACCACAAAGGTGACAAAGTGACAGGAGCACCCTGCAAGGAGAGGTTGAGAGAACTGGGACTATTCAGTCTGGAGAAGAGAAAGATCAGGGGGATTTCATCAATGTCTGTAAAAACCTGAAGGAAGGGTGCAAAGAGGATGGAGACAGGCTTTTCTCAGTAGGGTACCCAGCGACAGGATGAGAGGCAATCAGCACAACCTGGAATACAGGATTCTCACTGAACACCAGCAAATACTTTACTGTAAGAGTAACTAAGCACTGGCCACAGGTTTCTCATAGATACTGTGGAGATGCTTCTCCTTCTCTGAGGTGTTCAGAAGCTATGCTGACACGGCTCTGGGTAAGCTGTTCTCAGAGCTCCTGCTTGAACAGGGGAAGGAGTTGGACCTGATGACCTCCGAGGTCCCTTCTAACCCGAACCATTCCACGATTCATTCGTGTGTAATGAGGAAATACTTAAGATCTGAGTCTCAAAATAGACACACATACCCTTGCAAGAAAAGGTCAGTTCTTAATTAGGAATAACTTAAGCAAGCAAACCACAAAAAAAGGAAACTCTAATTAAATATAAAAATACTCTACTGGACTGCTATGTCAATTTTTATAATACTCCAGCTTTCAGCTACGTAATTAAAATATTCAACTGTTAAAGTTACCTGTTCTATAAGAATTAAGAGCAAATTGGTATTCCTGTTTTGCTTTAAGATGAGAAGTCTGCAGTCTGAATTTCATTTAAGACACAAGCATGTATGTGAGAAATACCTGGCAAAGAAAAACACGCCAAGGCAAGAGAGCTTCCCAAGTGTGGGTACAACTTCGTGCATACTGTGTACAAAACTATTTCACTTCACAAGACAAAACTCCAGGCTTCTTCTGGATCAAGATCAGTCATTTTTCTTTCATATGAAGGGCTACTAACAACAACTGATCCATGATGTTGACATGCTGCCATCAAACCTTCAAGTAGTGGGGAAACGACTCACAGCGCTGGCCATAACTGGCATCTGTTCACTCGCCTGTTGGTATTAGGGAGCCTAACAGGTTCCCAGTAAAATCATCCTGTTTTATGGTCATATCTTGTGCATACACATGTTAACTATGTGTTGCAAGGACATCAGCACTACTGCACCGAGTCATCCCAGGTATCAGTCTCTCCCAGCACTGAATCCCTGACAGCATTTGAAAGTTGATGCCCTTTATCAGCTACAACAGCTGAAGGTATGGTGTTTCAGAACAACTAGGGACAGTCTGCAAACTAATCCATTTCGTTCACTTGGAACCTGCCATCTGTTTGTCTCATTTGAAGTCATCTTCTTGTAAGGTTGGAGCAGCAGTGGACAGGATCTCCCTAAGCACCTTCTCCATGTTGCTCATACATTTTTCAGAGGTTAATAGTTTGCTCTCATCCCTTTCATTTCCAGGATGAACAATCACTCCGTACTGTATTTATACTGATGAAGACTATCAAATGAATGTCTCTTTCAATATTATTTATTTGTTTGTTCCTTCTGAGATGCTAGAACACCTGTACTATTTGCAGCAAGATCAATTCTTTTGAAAAGCAGAAACCACAGAGCCAAAGAAATGCTTTGCTTTTACTCCATGAAATTCTGTTCAGCTTTAGCTGAATCACTGCGTTTTTAGCTACTCGTATCCTACTCAGTCTTACTATCAACTGAATAATCATAGAACCACCAAGGTTGGGAAAGGCCCACAGGATCACCCAGTCCAACCATCAAATAATAAAAGAACAGGAATATTTTTAGGAGCAAAGCACAAAGAGCAAGCATCGCTCTGAAAGCATCAAAGAGTTGGCAGACAGCTTGCAGGATAAAGACAAGGCAATATTTCCTCCCCACAGCGAATATGAACCTTGACATATGAGAAAATACCCCCATGCCACTATCTTGTCCCACAGAGAGCAAAGGCTTCCTCAGCTTCCTTCAACACAGAGCAAAGGAATCATGCTGTGCTGTGCTGTTTAAAAAACTCTGGACACGGTTTCAGGCTTCTACCTGTGAGTCACAGCACAGTCAGTTCCTGAACTCCAGGCACAGGATGAAGCAGGGAGCGCCCACACAGCCCTGCAGCTCAAGCACGCGCTACAGCTGCCGTACAACTCCTCGCGCTGGTTCTCAAACTACTATGGACAGGACATAACGGAATTGCTAATAAGTGTGTGGAAACAACAGTCATCACTAAGTATTTCTAGTCCACATTTTTACATCTCTTACCGTGTGAAAGGGAAAAGTCATTTCCTATTCCATCTACGACCATCATTTAAGAAAGCACACACTCCAAAATTAGCTAACAAAGATAATACGGCATGTAATTCCCTGAATGCAAGTGGCAGCAGGTTAAAAAATTGTTTGGGAAAAGAATTATACATACTCTCCTGTTGTATGATCAATGAAAATAAAAACGCTACAATCAAGAAACAAACAAGAGAGCTTGACAAAGCAGATTACAATAACAAAAAGAAAACAGATACAAAGCAGATACAAAGCTTACCCATATCCTGAGCTCACTGCAGAACCCAGCAGAGGGGATCTCCAGCAGAGACCCTTCCCTGCCGGCAGTCAGCTCTTAAATGGGCCTGGGAGGGGGGCAGCCAGGCTCCAGCCCTCCTGCAGCAGTGAATCGCCTTCACCTGTGCCCCAGGGCCGACCCAGCGCCGGCCTCAGGTGGTCAATCAGGGGTTCAGGCCGCGGTTCCCAGTGCCCACACACCTGTGCTGTGCCTCTCCTGCAGTGCGCGGCGCAGGGAAGGCAGGGTGCTGAGCTAAAAGAAAGGTTCACTCGGCTCAGTTTTGACCGCTCTTATGGTCTTTTTCAATCTAGTACTGGAATATTTTGGTGGAAGCACGGTGATGATCCAAGCCCATACCCTGTCCAATTTTACCTCGAGAATGAGAGAATAATTGAAGGTAAGCCCCAGGAGCAGCACATCACAAAGAATAATTCGATTTGTTTCTCTAACGTAATTGCTTAAAAAGAGAAAGATACTTTTGAACTGTGACCAGCAGTACATAATTCATTTTACTGTTTTCTTCATAGGTAGCTGAAGCTCAGTTATCTTGATGTATCTGTGGTAAGGATCTGCACAACCTACAGATTTTCTTCTTGCATTTTCCCCTAACCGAAAAGCTCATAGCTTTTCGTGCAAGCTTTCTCTCTTGTACGAGAGTTTTAAGTATGAACGTGTGAAGAGTACTTCAAGACCTGAATTATCTACTCTGGTCTTTTTCTATTTCAAGAAGCTACAAAAATTACCTAGCAGCAGGAACTCATCATCTGATAGTCTGAAGCATGTATGCTAAATCCTCTCTTATAATTACATGGATAACTGGAACAAATTAGCACTAACATTAGTAAGGTAGGGTTTTTCTAGGGGCTGAGGATCTTTTTCTTTCTATTGTGAAAATTCAAATATTTCAAAAATTTTAAAATAATAAGAACACATTATTAATCTCTGCGCTTTTATCCTTCATTCCCATGGACTTATTTTATATTGATGGCTGCCAAATAGCACAAAAAAGAATTGTGGTGATGAGGACAGTGAGCAGGACCAGCATAATGAGGAAGGCTCACAACTTCCTTGTAACGGCAGCACAGTGTGCGTGTGCTTGTCAACAAATACACACAGCCTGTGAAACAAGCAGATGGAATCCAAAGTCAGCAGTGTCAGCAGTCAATCCAGTACAAATCCAGTTGCAGCACTACTATTTCTTGGATAACCAAAACATCATGGGAGAGCTTCTATGACTGGCATGCGATGTCTTGGAAGGCAACGAGAACCAGCTGCACACTACACAAAGGCCTCATCTAGAAGGTGAGCGTTGCGCTGAAGCAGCTGACACTGTGGGATGCATCTCCTACAAACCAGCTGATCAAGGAGAAGACAGAGCCTGTGAAACATCTTTAAAATGCTCCACTGTAGCAGACCCTCATACTTATGGAGGACTTTAACCACCGTGACATCTGCCTACGGACAGCACGAGGCATAAGCACTAAGGAGATTTCTGGGTTGGATTGATGACAACTTCTTAACGCAGGTGATGATGTGCTTTGCTGAACCGATTACAAACAAGGAAGGAAGAACTGGTTGTGGATACGAAGATTAAAGGCAGCCCCGGCTGCAGAAAAAGAATGAGATAGTGGAGTTTGGGATGCTCTGAAAGAGAGCAAGATCAGGACCTCAGAAGAGCAGCTTTTGGCATATTCATGTATTTGCTCAGAAGGATTCCATGAGATGACAGGGATCCCCAAAGGACAAAGGAGCTCAGGGGAGGTGGGCTGACCTTCAAGGACAGTCTTTTCAAAGCACAGGGGAACAATCCAGACCAGTGTGCACAGCTGAGAAGGCCTGGCAAAAGATGAGCAGAGTTAATCAGGGAATTCCTGAATGGTATCTAATGCCAAAAAAAAAACAAAACCAAAAAAGAACGATGGAGGTGGGAGCCAGATCTCGCAGCTTCTCTTGGTAGACATGTGCTCCACCCTGGCCCACGTGGCCCACTGTGGGCTTCACTCCAGTTTCTTTCTGGCCTGTGTCCAGAAGTTCAGGTGCAGTCTCACAAGTATGGCATAGCAGGGAATAGCCTCTTTCCTTGACAGGATGGCATCGCTCAGGCTGACACAGCCCAGCATAATACAGCACGCACATCAACTGCCTCCTCCAGGTCAGTGACAAAGGTGCTTAACAGAACAGCTGCTAAGACAGATCCCTGTGATACTTGGCTTATCCCTGTCTTCCACAATGGGTTGCGTGACCCATTGGACATTATTCTCTCAGAACAATCATCCAACTGTATTTTAACTTGTATGGTTGTCCACCTAACTACACCAGAATGTATCAACTTGAATATGAGAATATAATGGAGAAAAGTGAAAAATTTGCAAAAGCCAAGATAAATGAAATCCATCCACTACCATCTCTTGGTCACTGATCCAATTCCACTTCATTATTTCATCTTTGCTACTGCTAAGATTGCCATTTCTTCCTTATGAACAAATAGCAGATCCAGACGTCTCACTTCATCCTGGCACAGGTGGAGAAAAAGGGGACAACAGTCATGCAGTAACCACAAAACAACAGGACAGCTATCACAGTATGAGAGCAGAGCAGAGGAATCCCTTGCAGTGGCCAGTGAACAGCAGCAGGAGCTGACTGTTTATAAAGGAGAATGAAGAAGAGAGGATTAAAAAGGACAGCTGCATCAAAACCCATCAACACAGCTAGACAAGAAGTTCTCTGAAGAATCTGGGAAGCACTGAGAAAGACAGTAACTAACAGTGAGCAGTGAGATGAGGGAGGCATAGTTTCCTGTTCTAAAGTTGCACTCCACTCAGCAAGCTAAATAGGGAAAAGAGATGCACAGCTGTGGAGACAGAAGAATTTTCAGTGGAGCTTGTTGCATCAGAGTGAGTAGGCATAAAAGCTAAAGAACAGAACAGTGAATCACAGTGACAGTGTCTGGAGAAGTACGTAATGATTCCCAACTAAGGAAAAGACAGACAGTGACCAGAAGTAATGAGCAGACGTGGCCGGAAGGAAGGCAGAAGAGCCGTGGGATGTGCGGTCATTTCCCAAAGGGCAGCTTGTGGCCGGAGCTCAAAACTGAAGCGCGCCTTATAGACTCAGGTCACAAAGGCCACGTCAGCTGGTGATACCTGCACACGCCTCCATGAATGAAGATGCCTACGAACTGCTCTGAAAATGAATGAGGGTATTAATGACCTGAGAAAAAAGAAAGGATCCAGATGTAAAGAAAACACGATATGACATATGCTGTGGCACAGAACTGTAATCAACGTTGAACACACAAAAAAAACCTCTAAACCTTGTTACATTACAGTATGTCAGCCTACACTTCATGAAGTCTCTTTCTGTTCATTAAAATTGCATTTTAGACAAAAGGTACTCAGCAGATCCAGTCCACTTCATTTAAGTAAAGCATTTAACATGCAGTCATAAAGGGAAGAGCTACTAAGACTGAAAAGGTGGGCATTAGAACAAAAATGATGTGGTAAAGAAGTGGCATGGAAAAAAAAAATAAGCAGAATGTATTCCATGGAGTGGTGTTGAGAACGATTTTATTCAGGTAATTGTATTAATAGCGCTAGCATTTAAAAAAAAAAAAAAAAAAGAAGTATACTAACAAAACAAAACTTAATGACAAAGGATGTAAGGAAGCTTAGAAATGTGCAGTAGAAGTGGGATGAAATATAACATTACAAAGCACAGGATCATGCTCCTTAAAGTCTATACCAATAATTCCTGCTCTAACATGGGAATTCATCACTTGCAAAAATAGAAATACTTGTATTAGTCAATCACAGAATGACTATATGCTATATCATGTGGAAAGGCTGTAAAAAAAAAATCTAATTCTAATGGGCATCACTTCTCTTTCCAGTGGACGTAAAAATGCCTCTGTGCTTTTCAGGTATTGGTGATACAATATGTACAGTTCTGGTTTCCCAAGAATTAAATTAAAAGAAGTTTAAAAGATGTGAATTTAGCCCAGGATAGACATAATGAAGGACTGTGAGGATTAGAAACATAAGGAGCCATTTGTATTTGGAAAACTAAAAGCACTGCCCTAGCTAAGCCTAACAACAACCAAAAAAAAGTGTGGAGGAGAAGCTGCCAAATCTGAAATACCTCAGAAGTAAGGAAGCTAATTAATCTTGAGGCAGTAATTGCGTGCGATGGCTTCTATGACAGAGTGAACAAGACTGGATGTGACAGGAAGTTCCCTACATTCCCTCATATCTTCCGGTGTGCAGCGGTTTGGTAGGCTGCACTGTTCTTGTACAGTGATACCTACATGAAATTAAGCTCATGTCAAACAGCTGCACTGCAGCAGAAAAGTAGCCCCAGGCAGCCAGCAGCAGGCTCCAGCCAAGGCACAGCCTTGGTACAGGACCTGAAGTCCCGCCGCTGGTCAGCCGTGCAGCTGCCTGGCTCGCTCAGCAACTGACCCTGAGGACTCACCCCCCTCTCTATTACATAAGAGTTCTCAGCAGTAAAATGTGTTTAATAGAACAGTTCACAGTTCCCAGGAAACACAAGGCAGAGTCTGCGGAATGCCGGCAGCAAAAAATGCTGACTGGCTGAAAATCACTCCAGAAGTAGATTTGGGAAGTTGGAACTTTTACCCTGTTTCATTTCATTCCTTATCCACAGTGTAAATCTTCCACTTGACAGGAGGCTGATTTACACAGCATTTCGCTGTCTCCTGAATGGTGAGAATCAGGAGGTTCTGACACACTTGACTGTGCCTACAGAAGTACTTTAGTCCAGACACAAAATCATACCACTGATACCATGGCTTCAACTGCACTGATAAGAACTCCATTACTGACAGGACTCTAGCAATTTGTGTTGTCTTATTACTGCATCAGTTAAAATTACTGGCTGGCTGTAACAAAGGTAATGAAAGAGAGAAAGATCTGGTGACAGCGTGGTTCTGAATGGTGCAAGCAATGGTGCAGCTTTTTGACTTATATGAAGGATAGGCTCCATCCATTAAAACTTATCACAGACTTGATAAAGAGGTGTTAAGTCTTCTATTGCCAGAGAAGTTTGGCTACCTCTTTTAAGTTTTTTTTTTTTAAGCTTTTAAGTATTCATATGTTTAAAATGCCATCCATAAAGGATGATTGTCTCTGAAAAACAACTGTGAGACAGACAAGAAATGTGGCTTTCACTCTAAGAAAGTACAGACCCTAAGAAGGAATGAGGCTTTAACACACCATGGAGACTGCAAGTAGTTCAAAACTCTGGACTTCATGGCAGCCTTCTCCCTTCAAGACAGCAGCATGAGAAAATGAATGGCTAACTCATGAAGCCTGTACTGCCACAGAGTGACAGGAAGTGAACATTTGCTATTAGGTGTACCAAAAAGGGCTCGTTTCTTCAACTGGTTGTAACTGGGCACCATTGGAACATCACAGAAGAGAATCTGGAGGTTGCTGTAGAGTTTGGGTTTACATCAGCAGTTGAAAGGCAGACTTGAAGAAGAGAGCTACACACCTCTGAAAAGAATTCTGAGCCCAGAAAGATCAGCAGAAGCCAAAGAAACCAGGACTACCTTATGATGAGTGTGTGCGCTTTGAAGACTTGAGGGTCTTGTCCTTTGGGACCATCCAGGTTTTAGGAGAACTGTACTAAGTAGGGGACAGAAACAGAGAAGCCTGGGAATAATGAAAGAGAAATCCTTGTGTTTAAAAAGGAAGTGGAAGATTTAAGCATTGAGGATCAAGCATATTCAGCAACTAAAAGATAGACATATCTGCAGAGATAAGAGAATTAATAACCGAATAACACAGGCCTGTTGAACTCTGCTGTTTATATAGATTCTAAGACGCAACTGCAAAAATTAGGAGCTGTCAGGTGTTCTGGGCCAGGGAGAACTAAGAACAAGTCCACCTCCTGCAAGCACAGCTGCACTCTGAACCAGCCTTAAAAATTGATCAAAAACATCTTTAAGCCTCGAAGGGCCCCAGCATCAAGTCATGTACTTCACAGTCCAGCACCACCGTCCATCCAGCAAGTGGCAGTGCTGGCACAGCCAGCCCAGCACAAGGGGATGACACAGGCCAGGCTGCACCCCACGCTCCCAGCCCCCAGCCCCAGCCCCAGCCTGGCTCTCCAGACTTTCACCCACTGCCTACTTACTTTTTAATTAGATTTTTAAACAAAAAGTGAAAGTATTTTATAAAATCCCTCTAATTACGCTAAGATGCTGAACTGATTGTGAAGGGAATAGGAAATGAAAGCGACTCACCCTCTGAGGGAGAATTTTGTCAGCCATCTTCCTCCTCTTGGCACTGTACATTTTTTAAAGAAAAAAACACGTTACCATGGTGACAGATCTAGGAGTAACGAGGCCACCTGCTAAATTATCCTGACATCTCCACATGCTGGTGCACAGCTGTGCATGCATCAGCAAAAGGGTCTCACCCATGCCCGGGACCTAGGACCCCTTCTCTCAGCAGCCTGGGGAGGTAGTTAGCTAAGAACAAATCAAGGCTGTCTGTTATGCATCTTGGAAAGAAGTACGCAAGTTCTTTGATCACAGCATCTTCTGCGGTGCAGAGCAGCAGTGTATGCAAGTACGTGTGCACATGCCATCCATGGATGCAGAAAGAGCATGTCGAAGGACAGCACGTGTGTGGAAGTGTGCACAGACATATCTACGTCCACGCACGAGGAAGAGGTGAGTGCCTGTAAGCTGAATGTGATCTTGTTCAAATGGATCTGAGCATGCATTCATTTATGTCCCAAATTGAGTGGCAATGTTCATTTGTGTACGAAAACACACGTATTTATGCACCCTTACATAAATACACTCGTTTCACTGAAATGAATGACTTTCAACGCTGTCAGTTTATGTTTTCATGCTTGTTCATCATTCATGTTATGAATGTCAATGCGAGAAGATAAACGTGTGCCGGTAGTGCGTATGCACAATGCGTCCGTGCCCATACACAAGCACATTTATGGCTGCATGCTTTTAAACACTCCTGTGTTCGCACGCATACAGCCAAATCTAGATATGCCTCAGAAATGGTACTGCTGGGAAGACTGCCAAATACATTGTATTTTGAAGCCTTCAGATTCTGAAAAACTTTTGCTCCCATCAAACTGTCACCTCACTTTCTCCAGCAAGGCCAAGAAGAAATTCAAGCCTTACTCTTCACCTCCACAAGCTGTGAAGCCTTTATCTTAAGCAGAAGGTTAATCACTCCATCTGTGACACAGACCAATGAGGTAAAGACGACTGCCTGCTGCTGATCTGCTACGTCACGGGACGCCCTTCCACACAGCTTTCGTCTGGGAATTCTGTCATCAGCCTCGTCCACATCAAAGCTGCTTCTGCACACACCAGTGTGGCCAACTCCCTTCTCACCTTTGCTCATAATAAGCCTGGCCTGAAATACCAGAGTCCTCCCCGTCTGCACAGAAGCCTAACTCTGAGGAACTCTTTGTTCTTGGAGGTGAAAACTACATCCTTCCTTGGGCAGAAAATTTACGCACGCAGTCACACACAATTTCACAGATGAACAACGTCCTTTTTTTAAAAGTGCAGAAATAATGGGACCGGAACATTAAACATGGGGTTTAAATCTCCAACACCTCCTGCAAATGACAAAAATCGAAACTGCACTGAAACTCTTCGCAGATTCTGGAGCAAACTCCATCCTCTAGAGAGAAGTGCAACATGCACCCACAGCAACCCCAAAGGCTTCCAGCTAAATAGCAAAAACAAACGTGACAAAACCCCAACAACTTGGCTCTAAAAACTTTTCCATGAATCTGTTACAAAAAAGAGATTTACCTGCTTTCTGACCTTCAAACCTGGCAAGAAAGGAAAATTACACTTTCTTGGCCCTTTATTGCCATGAAACGTGGGGCTCGATTAATCCCAGAATGGGACCCAACGTTTTCCAGAAAAGTCTGCCTGAAAAACTAGGGAAGTTTTTCAGGGAATGGGAAATGACAGGGAGGTGGGAATGAACCAGGGGAAAACACTGAAAACACTGCCTGGAGTGACAGTACAGCAAAGGAACAGAAACTTCCCTGAGAACCTAACATGCATTGGTGTAAACTGGGCTCACAATAGTGGTGATAATTGCTAGAAATTAAAAACTGAACTTAAGAACAGGGAGGGAGGAACTGCTTCCTTCTGTGATTTATGGCATTGACTTTCAGGAAACAAACTATTCTTCTTCAGTTATCCCTGGAAACTGGTTAGTGACTGAAGTTTAACTTCATCATCCTGCTGCGGCAGTTTTCAGGCTGTCTCCATCCCATCTGTCTGAGGGCTACGCGTTCTCGTGTGCAGTTTCCTGGAGGATCTCCTGGGAGGTGCCATGGAATGCACATTTTTGCTAGTGCATGGGCAAGGCCTTCATGACGCACATGCATCTCATGCTGCACCCACACACATTCCTTCTATATTTAATCTTGTTGAACCTTAATATATTAATTCTCTCAGGACTTGTGTCCTTTCCAGATGCATCCAAGACATAAGCATTCTCAAGTCTGGCTTGCCGACCCAAGGCCTATACAGTAGATAGAGCAGGGCTCACGAAGCACTGATCTTAGGAAATCATGTTTTACCTAAAACTGGGTACGATGACCCCACTAGAACACTGCATGATCCTATATATGCCCACAGGAATCTTGCAAAAGGCAGTCAAACCTGGGTGACTGCACCCTATCAGGAACTGGCTCACGCCTCAGAACACAAGTATTATAAGGTCTGATCAGTTGCAGAAAGAAACTGGAAAAATATGATTTAAGACAGAATGTAATCAGCGCCGTACAAAGCATGCATATAATTGAAAGAAAGCTCCTTAAAAAAAAAAAAAAAAACTTCTCAGATTGCAGAAAAATTCCCATGGGTACCTCTATCCCTAAACGCAGCAATGCCTGCAAATTGCAAGTTTTATGACCACTCATCTGAGTGAACATATCAAGTATTGACATTACCAACAAAAAAATCTCTTCCACTTGTCTCTTGTTTACAAACCAATTTGTTAGCCAGTCAGAAATTAGAGAAACGTAGGGAACAGATAACAAATTACACAATAATTGCATTATATTAGAAACGAATTGATCGTTAACTTTATGGGCTAAATGTGATGGCCAGCTCTATAGCCTGATATACCCACAAGCTGAAAGCATTTCATCAGCAGAAACAGACTTTATTAAAGGTCATTGTCTTTAGAGACCATTCCTAAGCAAAGTATGGAGTAAAATTTACCATTTTTTTCCTGCTTTAAGAAACTGATGCTATATAAATCTTCTGGTTTATCTCATTCAATCTTAAAGCTCTTACTTATTACTAAATAAAGATTTTCTTCCTCGGTTTTTTCCCCACACTTCCTTTCTGGAATACTCACCTCCTGGTTCGGTTCTGAGTAGCTTGCTGCTGCTGCTGCACTTGCTGCTGCACCTGCTGCTGTTGGACCTGCTGTGGTGCAGTACGTTTTCTCGTTGTTTCCATCACAGTCTGGGGCATCCCAGGTCTCACCGAGGGGCTTCCAACATATGGAGGGCCTGGGGGACCCATGGGAGCCCCCTGATGGGGCATTCGAGCTCCTGATGGCATCCCAGGTCGCTAGGGAAGAAGCAAAACAGAAAAAAAGAGACAGTTTGGTCCCTGCTTCTCCAGCTGCATTAATATTTGTACACAATCACACTCAGCTCCCGCAAGTTCCCCATTTTTACCAACCTTACATATAAGCAGCAACACAGAGCACAAGAGATCTGAATTGGAACTCCCTGAACATCATAAAGCAGAACACAGTGATAATGGGACGGGAAACAGAGATGAAGAAGACTGCACATGGGAAAGCACTCAGTGGTCAGTAGCATTCAGGCCAGCTTACAGCAGACAGCTCTACCTTCTTACCAAAGCATGCAACACACGGTTCAAATAGGTGCAGTCCACATGCCAATCAAAGCAAAAGCTTCGTGACTTCTTCAGTACTGCAGATTTTGAATGGACCAACTGATTGCTGTGATCAGTAGGGACTCTGTAACAGGCAGAGCTGAACTACGGAAGCACTGCAGTAAAGCATTTTCCAGTGAAAGCCTTTGCCTCCACCTATGCTGGAGAGCATCCCAAGTTTATGATATGACAAGAACCCTTAAGAAAAGGTCATGTCTCTGATCAAGAAGAAAAAGAAAGTGATACTTCGTCAGCAGCCCCTGCAGGTATTCTAAAGTCCAGACATTTACATTGACTTCACCATACTCTGAAATTTCTCTTTAGGTGAGACTGCAAACTTAATGCTGAACAAGACTCAGGAAAGCTGATGCCATACTGAGGTTTATATTCCTCAAGGAAAAACACCATTAAAATAATTGTTTCCTCAAAACAGGAAAGCGGAAAGATTTTAGTTTCACTCTAAGAGGAATGAAAGTATTTATTAGAGATCTTTACCTATCTGTGAAAATACACAATGCACACACACATTGTATACATCTGAACCAATATATAAATAAAAACTATCATACATAAAAGTAATTTGAAATTGCAAGCGTAAAATCCTACATGTGACAAGGAATAACTGCAGTATCAGTACAGGATGAAGGCCAAGCTGCTGGAAAGAAACGCAGTAGAGAAGGACCTGGGGGTCATGGTGGCCGACAGGCAACCAGTGGTTGACCACAGCTGACTGTGGACCAGCAGGGTGTGCTGGTGGCCAAGGAGGCCAATGGGGCCCTGGAATGCACTGTAGAGAGAGTGGGAGGTGATGCCCCCATCCGCCCTGCCCTGGCTGCACGGCTGGAGCAGTGCACCCAGCGCTGGGCTGCCCAGGTCCAGGCAGATGGGAACTGCTGGAGGAACCCAGTGGAGGATGCGGAGATGGTGGGGCCTGGAGCAGCTCCTGGTGGGGCCTGGGAGAGCCCTGGGCTGCGTGTGTGGAGGAGAGAAGGCTGAGGGATCTGAGCGGTGCCGATGGAGACCTGAAGGGAAGGGCAGGGGAGGGGGCCGGGCTCCGTTTGGTGGTGCTCGACACCAGGATGAGGAGCATAGGGCACAGACTGCAGCCCAGGGAGTTCATCTGAACGTGAGGAGGAATTGCTGTGCTGTGAGGGTGGCAGAGCCCTGGACCGGAGCCCAGAGAGGTGGGGGAGTCTCCTGTGGAGATCCCAAAAACCCTTCTGGACACCGTGCAACTGAGTGCTGCAGAGAGCTGCCATGGGGGATGGAGCTCCAGAGGTGCCTCCCAACCCCTACAGTTCTGGGATTATGTGATTCTGCAAACCCTCTCTGCAGCACAGGAAGTTCTGCACAAATGTAAGAACTTCTTCACAGTGGGGATGGCGGAGTGCTGGAACAGGCTGCCCAGGGAGGCTGTGGAGCCTCCTCCGGAGATTTCAAGACCTGCCTGGACACCTACCTGTGCAGCCTGCTGTAGGGGGCCTGCTTTGGCAGGGGGTTGGACTGGATGACCTCTAGAGGCCCCTTCCAGCCCCTACAATTCTCTGAATCTGTGTGATTCTCTCTACAGATTCTTTTCATGAAACTATGAGGCCATAGCATCCATTATGGATAAATAATTGGTTATAGAATATTAATGAGGTAAAAGTAAATCATGACGATAATCTTAAGCGGGCATTTTCAAGAGCTCTGCAAAATCACGAGCAGCCTGGAGAGGGCAGATGGAGACTGACTGTTCACTGTCCCATCTGGTGCATAAACAGAGGAACCCACAAGGAGTCAGGTTCATAGACAGAACGGGGTGGTTTCACACAGTGGGCAGTGAGTCTGTGGAACTACTTTTCAAAGAGATGTTAAAGACACAGAAAATATTTTTGGCTTAGAAACTTCTCTGAGGTATCAACAGTTGAAGACTGAAAAAATATGTGGGAAAAGTATCCTCATGGTCACTAAAGTGGAATGTGTGCACCCCAAGGGGTGCAGCGGGATGCTGGAAGAAAAGATTTTTTGTACCATTAAAAATGTTTATTTAATTGAGATTATTTCATCTTTGTCTCATTTCTTTTTTAATCTCTGTTCATATTAGTAATGATAGGAATGCAAGACCAAAGGAGTTTGGAGACTGCTGCTTTGTACAGCACCCTGTCACTGCCTACTGGAGCCATCTGCTACAGCTGCTGTTAGATGTAGCACTGCAGGCCCAGGGGAACCTTTTCTGAGCCAGAAAAGCTGCTCTTATGTTATGCTCCAACTTACATTTTACAGTAAAAAAGCATCTATTATGGCTGCAAACCCCAAGCAACAGTGCTTAGCTGCATCTCCAAATTAGCAACCCACATCCTCCGTAGTTCCCAAAGCCCCAGCTCAGGGCCCTCCCGGGTCATTACAAGTCTTAGATATTCCTTGTGCCTGGATGCCTGAAGGAAAAGGAAGGAAGAAAGAAGGGGAATGATCACTAAAGAACCAGAGCTATAATTGGTTTGGACAGAGAGGGAAAGTCGAGGGGAGAGAGCGCAGCACAGCCAGGCAGGCAGGCTTCAGCAAGTATTCACATAGGGGATTGAGTATGGGTATGGCCACTGAGAACAGAAGCAGCAGGAGGCAGCAAACAGGCAAAATGGAGGCTCTGTGCAGAGCTGAAAACATTTTCTCTCATAAACATTGAGCTATGAAGACTGCTGAAACACAGCAGCCACCCCCTTTCCCACTTTCAGACCCAGGCAAATGCAGTAGAAACAAATGGCCCAGAACAGGCTTCACACTTGAGCTTGTATTTAAGATCTTTCCGTTGTCTGTCAATCTACAAACTGTGGCCTTCTTCCAAATAAGGGGGCCTGCTGTTGCCTGTTGATCATCCCGGGACATTTGACAGTCATTCAGAAGAGTGAAGATCCCAGCATCTCGTGTTTCACTCCCCATGGAGACTGACTGGCCACATGGATCACACTGCAGGCCCCCTGTTCTGATTCCACATAGAACACCTTAAATACTGGAGAATGAGGTCAGCAAGCCAGGCCTACTCTTGATCTAAGTCTGACACCCTTGAATTTCTTTCAGTTTCCTTTGTTAAACATTGAAATACTGAAAGGACCAACCAGAAGGAGCCAGCTCTAGCAAGTGCTGCAGCGCCGCGGGCAGCTCATCTGATCGCACCCCTTCACGCGCCTCACTCCTTCCCTTCACTTCTTGTACTCTCGTATCCTACGTCATATGTAGATACTGCAACTGCCATCTCCCCACTGAAAACCCAAGGCACCCAACAGATATGGAAACACTTTCTCTATGTAAACCGCTGTAAAAGGAGCACTTTATCTTACCTAAAGGCTTGTTCTGCTCTCAAACACATGCGCAAGAGAAGGCAGTAGCAGACAACGCACTGAATTTTTCACAATACTGACATAAAAAAAAAGTTGCCGTAATACTAAAGAGTATTACAGTTCTATCACATTTCTTCAGAGATCTGTGAAGTACCACTGCCTATGGATAAGGATCTGTCTCTGCTTCTGCCCTCATCCTCATGTTGCCAAGCTGTATTCCATCACATATGGAAAGTCACAGCTGTCAGGTGAAGTCCCTCCTATTTTTAAGAAAGGGATAAAGAAAGACCTGGGGAACTACAGGCCAGTGAACTTCACGTCAGTGCTTGGGAAGATCATGGAGCACACGCTCCTGGAAGCTACATTAAAGGACATGCAAGACAAGGAGATGATCCACAACAGCAAGCATGGCTTCACCAAGGGCAGATTAGGCTTGACCAGTCTGGTGGCCTTCTATGATGATAGGATAGCATCAGTGGACAAAGGAAGGGCAACTGATGTCATCTCCCAGGACTTCTGCAAGGCTCTGAAATATGGCTCAACACCACACTCTTAATCTCTAACTTGGAGAGAGAGGATTTGAAGAGTTGACTATTTAGTGGATAAAGAATTATTTGGATACAACTGCAGCCAGAGCGTTGTGGTCAATGGCTCTATGCCCAGGTAGAGGCCAGTGATGAGCAGGTGTCTCTCTGGGGATTGGTGTTTTTAGAATCACCGAATCCTTAGAGTTGGAAGGGACCTTCAAAGGCCATGTACTCCAACTCCCCTGCAATGCACAGGGACACCACAGCTGGATCCTGGTGTGGACCCTTTTGTGTCCACGTCTCTCCCATACTGAGGACTCCACATCTGGACGCAGTGCTCCAGGTGAGGCCTCACAGTGCAGAGCAGAGGGGCAGGATCACCTCCCCGGACCCGCTGGCCACGCTTCCTTCAATGCAGCCCAGGATACAGTTGGCTTCTGGGGCTGAGGACGCATTGCTGGCTCATGTCCGGCTTCCCGCCCACCAGTAGCCCCAGGTCTTTTTCAGCAGGGCTGTGCTCAATCCTTTCATCCCCCAGCTTGTATTGGTAGTGAGGGCTGCCTCAACCCAGGTGCAAGATTTTGCATTTGCATTTGTCAGACCTCATGAGGTTCACATGGGCCTGCTGATCAAGTTCATTTAGGTTCCTCTGGTGCATCGACTGCACCCCACGTATTGGTGTCAGCAGCAAACTTGTTGAGAGTGCACTTGACCCTACTGTCAGTGTCATTGATGAAGATACTAAAGAGTATCAGTCCCAGCACTGACCCCTGGGGGACACCACTCATCTTCAATATCTTTATCAATGACATCGATGCCGGGATTGAGTGCACCCTCAGCAAGTCTGCAGATGACACTAAGCTGAGTGGTGCAGCTGACACCACTTCTGGGAGGGGGGATGCCATCCGAAGAGACATGGACAAGCCTGAAATTGAAAATTGAACAGGTTCACCCACATGAACCTGACAAGTTTCAACAAAGAGTTGCACTTGGGTCAGGGCAATCCTAGATGTGTACAGACTGGGGGAAAAGCTCACTGAGAGCAGCCCTGCGGAGAAGGACTTGGGGTTCCTGATGAACAAAAAGCTGGACTTGAGCCGGCAGCATGCGCTTGCAGCCCAAAAGGCCAATTGCATCCTGAGCTGCATCAGCTGAGGAGCGACACCAGGGCAGGGAGTGGACGTGCCCCTCTGCTCTGCCCTTGTGAGGCCTCATCTGGAGTACTGCGCCCAGATGTGGAGCCCTCAGCACAGAGAAATGTGGGAGCAGATCCAGAGGAGGCCACAAAGCTGATCAGAGGGCTGGAGCACCTCTCCTGCTCAGAAAGGCTGAGGGAGCAGAGCTTGTTCAGCCTGGAGAAGAGAAGGTTCTGGGGAGACCTCACTGCAGCCTTTCAGTACTTAAAGGGAGCTTATAAACAGGAGGGAGAGCAGCGTTGTACACAGTCCAATAGTGACAGGACAAGGGGGAATGGCTTTAAACCAAAAGAAGGGAGATTTAGGTCAGATGCGAGGAAAAAATTCTTTACTCAGAGGTGGTGAATCCCTGGCACAGGCTGTGGGTGCCCCATCTCTGGAGGCGTTCAAGGCCAGACTGGATGGGGCTCTGGCTGACAACACATCCCACATCAGGGGTTTGGACGCAGATGATCTTTAGGGTCCCTTCCAACCTAAGCCATTCTTGATGAGAACTTCTTTCTGATGGAAGAAATGAGACAGCAGTGGAGAGCTGCTTTTCTATGAATTTCTACTGCAAAGGCTTTCCTCAAGCATCATCAACATCATAGCAGCCAAAATGTTGATGTAGATAAAAAGAGGGCTGCTGTCTGAAAATCACAGAGAGAGGACAAAAACACGGAGAACTGATGGGCACGAGGAAAAGAAAGTGTCAGGAAAAGCAAAGGCACCTACAGAAGGTTTGGAAAGGGGCTAAACAGAGAGCTGGGAGTCACTGCAGTGCAATACAGCGCCGAGTGTCCATACAAGATCCTATACTTCTGAAAAGCAAATACTATCCACCTTGGTACCACGTAAGAGGATTCTGATGGCAAGCAGTGAACAACTACGGGCCTCGTGTTAAGAAATACATTGATACATTTTCACAAGAGCAACAAAAATCCCAGAGTAGTTTGGAAGCTAAAAATAGGAGCTACCTCGGCTGGGCAGCCTTTCTTTACAACATAACATTACAGCAGCTGCTAATTTATTTCAGGTACGAGCAAGAAGAGGTTCAGATGATGCCTTGAGCTAAGAGCAGGTCACTGGAAGTGTACGTAACAGCTAAGAAATTTAGCTAAGGTGACACTGCCTCATGGCAATGGAATGGAGACTGCACAAATGGCTTCCCAGCAGAGAATGCCCTACTGAATGAGCCCACATGGACTCACACCACGAAAGAAGTTGTGGACAGCTTCTCCCCTGCCCTACGATAGTTACAGATGTGACCTCACATGGGTTCCTGTTTTTAGTATCTTTTACGAATCTTTTACAAATTTAGTAAGCAGAAGCATCTATATTTTCGTTCTTATTGCTCACTGCCATATTCACCTTCCATTTCCCAAGAGCACTCACATCCTAGAAATAGGGTCCAAGCGTTCCACAGCTGTGACTTCCAAGTTCCATCTATTTTGAGAAATGTGCACAACAATCCAAAAAATCTTTAACTTAAAAAATACTACATTTTCAGAACTGTGCATTGTGACTTAAGACAAAGGTCAGGGAACATCTATTTCATGCATGCCCACCCAGAGCTCAGAAGAACGAGATATCAAACCTCAAACAAAGCACTTGGATACAAACAGTTCAAAAACAAACAGAAAAAAACAGCCTTTGGAACTGAAACCAGCAAACCCAATGCACTGCCTTTGAGTTCCATCAGCTCGCTACTTTTAATAAATCAGATCGCATCCACTGCAGTGATCTAATGTGCTATGGAATGGATTTGGTGTGAGGAACAACAGCCAGAATGTGCTTTCCAGCCTGTAAAAGGAGCGGTTCAGGGAGGAGACAGAGCGCAGAGCTCTGCAACGTCACAGAGGAGGAGGAGATCGATCAAGTCCTCACTGCCTCTTCCCTTACAAGAACCAGACAGCGGCTAACAGCTGCTAGCACAAGGCACGTCTTCACGTAAGATAAGCTGCAAAAGTTCCTGACACAGAACGCTGTGCCTGCTGGACGCTTACGTGCATTCAAGAAAATATCAGCAAACTACTCTCCATCAATAATATTCGCAGAGGTACTAAACATGCAGTATCTCTCTGGGCCGGAAAACTCCAGAGCTACAAAGCGCGGAGCATTTGGAAGCAGTACTGCTGATTTTTTGCCTTGCAGCTTCCATGCAGTCTTCTGCTACTCCCCAGGAGCCTGGGCACGCGGGGCTCAATGACCCGGTGTGACTGGATTCGTGTCTCTCCAGTTTCTTTTGGAAGAAACAGGAGAGCAACTCGAACATCTCACACACCGTTCGCACCCCTGCACCTCTGTTTATCAGCACATTGAACTTTTCGCGACGGACAACATGAATATTCTTAACAAGCTCATTTTGCAAAATCTCATGAACTACTTATTAAAGACATATCAAGAATTAGGATGGTTTGATTTTCTTGATTACATGTGAACTTTTCTGCACCGAGCTCGGAGCGAGAAGACCAGCCCTGTGGTCCTGCTGGCAGCTTGCTTTTGCTTTACAGTGCTGTACGTTGTGACTCTACCAGGCTTCTGCAAGCACCTTCCCAAACAAACGCTGAATTCCCCAGGCTGCCTTAAGCTCAACCCAAACATCTCCTTGTTTAATAAAACAGGAAATGCATATGCAGCAAACCAGTGCCTGTGTTCCAGAAACTGTGCTGTGACAACATCCTAGCACAGAGCACCCTGTATTAGGCCAGTGGAACAAAGTGCTCAAAAATGACTGTTCATGAAGCTCCTTTCTACCCCTTCTAGAGTTTGGGCACTGACAAGATAGTATTTAATCCGTGATAATAAAAAAAATGCTGAGATATTTTTCAGTAGCAAAATCTGTGTTGTCATTTTTCAAACCTAATATTCTCCTCACATCACTACTTCTGTAGTGATTTCTTCAGCTGAAAGAATTACTTGTATCTACTTCAAATCAATCACCATTCAATTTGGGGAAAACACCTCTACTTCTCCCCATTATAACAGAATAAACACCATTTTGATGCCAAACTGAAATATGAATCCTTGAGGTCATCCAGTCCTTCCTTTTCTCGATAAAGCATCACCAAAGCCCCCATCATCTTTGACAGACATTTACTCTCTTAACCAGTTTCTTGCAGCCTCCAGCAACGGAGACTTTGCAGCTTTCCTCATCAATCTCCATCCCAAGGTATTACGAAAAAAACACACACACGTTCTTCCTACAAAGCCCCTCACGGCGAGTTCCACAGCCTCTTATTGATGAAGACTCTGCAGCCCTCCCACTGTCACTGCCATCTGGGTTACTCCTCCTTTTGCTTATTTGTCATGCAAACCATCAACATGAAAAAAATACATTCTTCTAAGTACATTCCAACTGATTTACAACATCTTCTGCACCACCCCCCTGTCCCACTTCTTAATGAAGTTAATATTTAATTTGCTTTCTTAGTAGCAGTGGCTGCTGCCACATAGTAGGCAGCCTGCAAAGACATCTGAGTCTTCCTCCTGGATGGTCACAGCTCATTTAAACCCTGCAGTATACGAGGAGGTGCAAAATTTATTTATCAAAGTCATTGCTCACCCCTTTTCCCATAACTTTACTAAATATTAAACACTCCATATACATCCTTGGGACATCAGATGTGTCTTTTAACCTATTTTCAGTTATTTAATTTCTGTATTAAGTATGTTTACATCACGGTATGCTTTGAGACCCTTCTTTCACTGTTCTAAATGCTGTTTCACGTGAGACAGCTCCTCAACTTACTGTCAAACTCTATGAGAGGTGAACAACCACACAGTAAGAATGGGGATCAAAAAAGGAGTCACACAAGTGATGTGCAGGTTTGTACACATTAACAGCAGTGAGGTATAATGACTATTAAAGTGTAGAGATTAGCAGGAACCATAAGAAAAGACTTATTAAGGACTTATGTTTAGAGGAAGAGCTTCCCAAGCACGACACAGAGAGCAAAGAACTAGATCCCTATACAAAGAAGGTGATATGAACTGAGAAGTATATGGTAAATACAGAAAAGACCCAATAGCCAAGAAACAGAATGGTCTTCTATTGGCACAGCTTGTGCACGGAATTCAAAAAGACTCGTTTTGGAAGGAAGAAAAAGTGGGCACAGAGAAAGGACAGGGAAACAGATTTAAAAGGGTCAGAACAACCACACAAGAAAACGAACCCCTCAGCTGCCTCCTGTGTGAAGGTAACACTGCAAAGGCCTCAGTGCGAGCACCAGAGAGGAGAGGATTTCTGCAATTGAGTCGCAAAAGGACACAAGTCTGGGCAAGAGCTTTGACAAAATACATGGATCTTCCCAAGGCTCTACATGAAGATACCTATTTGAGAAAGAAAGGAGGAAAAAAAAGACAAAGGACAAAGATAACATCCAGTGAAGGGATGCCGACAGAGAGGCTGACGTAGAGCCTCCAGGACAGAAACCGAGGAGCATCCAGCACGAAGATTAATAATTTGGTTTGGGTCAGAAGAGTTGAAAACAACCAGATACCCAGAGGGAGATGTCATAAAGGCAGCCCAAAATGTCCAAAACACACTAATAAAAAACATAGGAGCGTGCAGGAGGTCATTAAAGCTGTATTTATCCATAAAAGTTCCGGAAATAGAGCAGAGGGGGAAAAAATGACAGCGAAGGATGATGAAGCCTGTGCAAAAATCCCTCTTCCCACAGATAGAGTGTGTAAGGCCCCGATCCACAGCCCGGGAGTGAGGGAAATCTAACGAGCAATGGGCAGAAATGCGGCCTTCTGACAAGAAGAACCGCTCAGCAGAGGTGTAACAAATGACTCCGGCAGGACGCAGTGTCACACCTGAGGCTTCTGACCGCTACCGGCTCTGACACTGCAGAGGGACCCCATCTGCATGACATAAAAGGAAGAAGAGACCTCCTGAGCCGGCAGCATGGCGGAGAACAAAGGCAAGATGGAACACACGAGAGCAAAGGGCGAAGCGACCTTAGCAAAGGAATTCATGTTTTCAGAAAGATCAAATAAACCCAAAACCCAACAGCTCTCAGTAAATACTGCAAAATTCTCCTTTCTATTTAATCGCTCAAACAGTAAAAATTTGTCTCACAACATTCTGTCTAATACCCCTATTTCTGAAAAATGAGGCAATAACAATAATAATACCTGCAATAATCAAAACAGATAATTTTGCCAAGGAGAGAATAAAAAACTAATAATCTGAAGAGGAGATTTTCCCTGACACAGTGGGGGCACAGCCTGATTTCAAGGCATTCGGGAAAAGTTTGCTCTTGAATTTTGAAGGAATTGATTCAGATGCAGACTCGCCGTGCGGTGATGAGACTGCAGTACGTGCGCCCAGGGGAGCGCCTTTATTTCATATGATACGTAAACAGGTAAATGAAGTTGAAACTTTGGGTCTTTTGTAAGCAATGGAAGACTGACTGCCTCAACCTACTTTGATCAAAATGAACCTGAGATCAGGAAGAAACTAGAAGTGAAGAACAAGCATGGAAGCAAAAGCATAACCAAAGGAAATCATCAAGGAGGAATGCAGAGGGTCCTACAAGAGGAGCTCGGGCAAGGAATGCCGGACAAGAAACTCTGTTCCCACTGACAGGCAGTGGAAAGGTAACAAGCGAACAGATGCAGGTACTCAGGCAGTGCAGACAGCAAGTGAGACGCCGCTGGTGGCAAAGCAGTCCGTGCAGACAAGTCAGACTTCTCTAGCATCCAAACAAGTAACGGAAACAAGTTCTGCTGCATTAATTCTGGTATGAATTAACACTGCTCATGCATAAGAGGCTGGCAGGCTCCTTTCATATCTACCCGGGGAAGAAGCAGATTCATCCAACTATCTCAGCAACTCTTTGCGATACCAAAGGAAGAGCAGTGTTGTGCCAGTAGAAACCTTGGGAAAGGAAACAGCCTCCCATGTGCACAGCCCTTCCAGGATGCCCACGGTCTGCCCAGCTACAGCCACCCTGAGCCAGACCATCTGAATGAACTCACATGTCCATAGCACAGCTACTGCCACAGATCTGCACACCTGCTTCTGTCGTACCTGCCATCCAGCAACAGACTGCTGATGTACATCGGCACCACACTGCCTGCTCACTGCTCTCAAAGAACAGAATGCCATCTAAAAGTCCTTCACCCTGCAAGCTCATCACAGCCAGGCTCTGCAGGACACAGGCTAGATCCAATACATTTGGAGCTAGCCTGAGTTATAGAGAGAACCCAGAGGCCTGCAGTGAGCTCCCGAGATTCCTTTGTACAGGAACGCCCAGCAGATGTCTTCAAAAAGGTGTCACAGAAGGCGCCAGAATGCTCAAGAGAGAAAACATGCAGGGACTGTCTCCATCTGAACAACATCGGCATTTCCTGGGTCTTATTTCGTCAAAAGTGTATCAACACAAGGAATCCAAATGCTATAAATGGTGGTCGCTTCCAACCATCAGTCATGTAAAGAACATCATTTCTGCTGGCAGCAAAACAAGGTTAGCATATCCCCTTAAATGGAGATCAAAGACCTGATTCCTTAAACAAAAGCTGGTGATTTTTTAAAGACCTGAGCGATTCCTTTAATTAAGCGCGGCAACCTGGCGTTCCCTCGTGGGTGAGCACCCATCGACTGGCACAGATCTGCAGCGCTAATCTCTCCAAGCCCCTGAAAGTCACCTGTTAAGTAGCCAGAGGATACATCAGAGCCCAGGCTGGAGACGAGAACCAGAGGCAGCAGCACACGGCCGCATCGGACTAGCATCAGAATTGCTTTTCAAAACACAAGTTTGCTTACAGAACAAAGTGTCCTACAAACCCGTTTGGGTCAGACCCGGTGCAGATCCCGCACCGTGACGAGGCTCAGAAGCATGCCATTCACCAAGCATGGAGAATCAAAGCAGCAATCACAGCACGCAACCCCCCAGACAAAGCCTTATAGCAACGGATCGGTCACATCGTGCTCCGGCAGCCCCGCGGCTCTCGGGCGAGGCGGGGAGCGGCGCCCCACGAGCGCGCTGCAGGGGCCGCTCCAGCCCGGCGCAGCCTCCGCTCTCCACTCATCCCTCGATTCGGAGCCAGCCAGCTCGCTAACTTTCCCGACTCACCACCCCATGGACCAGAAACTCAAAAAGTTTGCTTTTCGTAGCTTTGCGAGCCCCTCCTGTAACTTCGTCTGTAGCCATCGGGGTCTGCTCAGCCTCTCTCACTCTCTCTCTTCCTCTTTCTTTCCCTTTTCTGCCTTTTTCTCCAACTCTCCCCTCTGAGTCCTGCTGGGCTCTCACACTTCTAATAGCGCGGAGTGGGGAGGGGGCCCCTTCAGGGCCTTCCTGACGGCCCACTCGCGCTCGGCCTCAGCTGCTGCATTCCTCCACTGATAAGCCAGAAATAGTTTGCGCTGCCGGGCTCTGCGTGTTTACTCTGCGGGGACAGAAAATCCCGCTTTTTAAACCTCTCTGTCCAAACACCCGAGATAAGCGGGAGGCAAATTGAAAACACGTCCCGGCCTTTCGCAGCAGAGCTGCAGCCGCTCCTCCTGGGCGCAGGGGATGGTAAATTCTGGGGCGAGGGGGAGGGGGCGGCCTCGGCGGCGGCTCCAGCCCGGCTCCGGGGGACTTTTCCCATTAGGACACGCAGCGGGCGAGCGCCGAGAAACAATGGCGCCCCCCGTCCGCAGCGCTCCGCCCGCGCCGCGCTCCAGGCCCCGTCCCCGGGGACCGCCGGCAGCGCGCAAACATTCGCTGGCGGCGATTCGAGCGCGAGGCTGAGAACGGCCCCTTCGGCAGCAGAGGCGGCGGGAGGCGGAGAGCCAGAAGCGGGCAGGGAGGGCGCGGGGGCGAGGGGATGGCGGGCGGGCGAGGAGCGGGGCGGCGGGCAGCATGGCGGCGGCCCCGCCCGGAGCGATCTGTCCGGGGCGCTCCGGCCCCGCTACGACGGATCCATTACAGAGCCGCGTGATCGACGGCCGCAGACGCTGCGAATACCGCAGCTGCCGTTAGGCAGCCGCAGCTCGCGGCTCCTCGGACAGAACCCCGCGCAGCACCCCGAGACCCCGCGGCCCAGCTGGGGGAAGGGGCCCTCCATGATGGAGCGCGGCGATGACCTCTCCGCGATGCCGGGCGGCAGTGCCGCCTCCCATGACGGCACGGCAGCGTGGCCGCGGGGCTCAGCGCACCGCAGTGTGTGCGGCTGGCGGGGGGCTGCTGTCTCCCGTCCGTGTGATACAGTGATAGAGATGTTGCCGGGCTACGAGAGGGGTTTGTTCTGTTCCTCTCCTTGAGATTCTTGTCTACGGACTCTGAATTTTCTGGCACGGCTGCAAATAGAAGGGAATCGGGCTGAGTTGAATAAAATCGCTGCCCTCACCCAGTGGTTAAAAAAAAAACACGGGAAAGACACTGAATCGGCCGGCAGCGAAGAGCAGACCATGGAGATCACACGGCATGGTGCGCGCAGGGACCAAGGCACAGCCTCTGCTGATGTTCAAGGTGACCCCAGCCCAGGCAGAGCCGTGCGGGATACCGCAGGAATTACAGCGTTTGGGCGTGCGGGCGCTGTTATCAACGCCCTCCCCCTTCCGCTCGCTCAGACACACCCAGCACAGCAGCACAGCCTCGTTCGGGGCATGGACCAAACCGCTCGGCTCTGGCCGACCCGAACCGACTGCACGTGGGATCGGGAACCGAGCTGCTGTGTCAGCATGGCGGCGGCGCCCCGCGCCTGCCAGGCTCAGGTCCCAAAAGCATGCGGTGACATCGGCTCCCGTCTCGTGAGCCCTTTTGTGCTCCCAGCACACGACCTGCCTTCTCTTTGCGGACTGCACTGCGCAGGGACGCAGCGGTTCACCCGCAGCAGCGCTGCTGACACAAAGCCGTACCCGTCGCTATTTCCGCTCCTAACGGGAGCCGCGTCCCCACCCTCATCCCGCGGCACGGCACCGAATGGCGCTCGAGCGCAGCGCGGCTCCCTGGGGAAGGCTCTGGGCAAAGGCCCGCTAGCACCGCCCGCAAAGGGCACCGCGGTCGCCGGATGGAGCCCGTCTCCGCCCTCGGCCCCGGAGCCCGCGGCCTCCTCAGCTCAGGCCCGGTGCTCTCAGGGCGCGGCGCGCGGTCCCCCCTCGAGTCCCCCCGCGCTCCGCCGCCAGCACCGCCGGCACCGAATGGCCACGGCGCGCCCGGCACGGGCAGGGCGTGCGCCAGCCGCGAGCCCGGATGGGCGGCGGGCCGGGTCCGGGCCGAGCCCCCTCCGGCTCCGCGCCGAACCCCAGCGGGCCGCGGTCGGACCGATCGCGGCTCCCGCGGGCCCGGGCGGCGGTGCGCGTGCCCGATGCGGCTCCGTGAAGGTCAGCCGCGGCCTCGAGGGGACGCGCGGGCGGGGGCGGCGGTAGGGAACGGCCTTAACCCTTTCCACGCCGCGCCCAGCAGCGCCCCGGGGCTGCGACCGCTGTGCAGGGAGGGCCGAGGAGCCGCGGGGCGGCGCGGTTGGGGCGCACGCCCGTCCGAGCCGTGGCGATGGCGGCCGCAGCGCCTCGCGACCCGTTTCCATCATCGCCAGCGCTGCACGACGGGCGGCGGGGGCTGCAGCACCGCGGCAGGGCTCGGGGTGGGGTTCCGTTCGTGTTTGATCCGCTACAGATAAAGCGACGCGAGCAGCTGCTCCTGCCTCAGCCGGCAGCCGGTTACATCACGCAGCACCGGGATGGGGTGGGAAATGCCACCGGATTTCATGTGAATACAGCGGAATAAGTACTGTCCTCTATCTGGATGTTCGCAGCAGCTCTATAGCGAGAGTTACGAGAACATCGGGTAACCGGGTCGGCCGCCTGAAAATGAGGGAGCTGCAGACACAATGTAGCCACGCACGTAATGAGACTTCAGTGGCAACAATTACGTACCAGTAGCACTCAGCCCTTACTCAGTACAACTGTAGCTCACAGTCCTATAGGAAGCAGTACAACTTGTTTTCTTTTCTTTTTTTCCTTTTTTCCAAGTGGAAGCCACGGTACAAATGGATGGAACTGACTCAACATCACCTCGCTGAGAATTACACTGAATTCCTGCGATTCTTCCACTCCCCACAATATTGTGAAGGAAGACTTGTGTAAAATGCACTTACATAACAAATGGATGAAGGCTACAGTGCAAGCATGCCTTCTCTCCAGAGAAAAACTATACAGTTTTATTTGAAATTCTTTTTTTTTTTTTTTTTCCTATCTCCCCCATGTATTTTCTTTCAAAAGTGTAGAAAATAAATGTGATTTGCTGTTGTTTTTAAAAGCTGCCTGGCTCAACTCAAGTCTCTCTGTTCCCCAGCTGCCCTGCAGCTCCCTGCCACATCTGGCCCTGATGGCAGTGGCACAGACAGACCCTGCAGTGCATTCTTGGGCAGTGGGCACACAGTGGTTCCATTGCTCCCTTCAGCTTCACTTGGTGCTATGTCCTTAAGTCAGGTTTCAAAGAAAGCTGACATTTGTCCTCCTTATCTGGGCTACAGGAAGCCATCTTTTCTCCCACAAATTTGCTTAGTTTGTTTTTACTTCTTTGCTATTTTAAACTACGCTGGTCAGGCTAAAAAAGCAGAAACGCAAGTTGTGGGAGGGGAGGAATACATTTGCAGCTGCGTTCATTTTTTAATCAATAGCAGTTAAAGAAATACATCAGGGTTGCTCTAAAAGGGCCTGGTTTCTCTCATCCAATTGTCACTTAGGTCAGCAAGGTTCAGAAACTTAAAGCACAGACTCGTAGAACATCCAGACTTGGAAGGGACCACGGGGTCACCGAGTCCAACCCCCAGCACAGAACCACGCGCCA